GCCAAAACGATCCCCTTTCCCTTTAATGTTGTATCGCACGGGTAAAAAAGTTGTTATGAGCTTGAAAAAATATTCGTCCTAAACGTGGGTTTGTATCGTCAGCGATCAATTAGCGGCAAATTATGAGCCCAGGTAGAATTGTCTAGAACGATCCTGACCAATTTTAAGGTTTTTGTATTGGCATACAAAAACCTTAAACCTTCACTTGAAGCTAGACTTGATTTTAAGTTTCTTGGCTTGCGGTTAATTTTTCGTTTTCACGGTTAATTTGCGGCTAATTTACGGCTAATTATCCAATAGATTATTAGTTTGCCTGCCAAATTTGCCATGCCAAGTTCAAAGAGGTTGAATGTAAGTAATAAGAATAAATTGATATGAATAAGACACGTGAAATTCTTATGGTAATATATTTTTGACTACATGAAATAAAAAGTAATAATCAACACTTTTAGATTCACGAAAAGACATAAACCGTTCATGAAACAAAAACATAACTAAGCAAGTGAAGATCTCATCTTGTCTAATAGACGAGCTGCTCTGTCTACATTAAACAACGATCCTTTGTATGAAAAGTATTTACTTACAAATAACTTTGGTTTAGTTTCTTTAACTTCAGTATTTTCATTGTGTTCATGAAAGATCTCGAGTTTACAAGTTAACTCGGCCGTACAACGCTCTACTTACATTAATAAAATAACTGTTCATCCTCAAAAGTACGAGTCTGCCTTTTATCAACTCATAATTTTGATACAACAATGGCCGTTTCAGTTATGTTTGAACAAAATATCACATTTAAAGATATGAACGTTATAAAGCACATTGTTTAAGATCTGAGATCACGGGAAGGTCGCGTTTAGCATGCAATGACATCCGTGAAAATCCACCCAATTGGGGTTTTAATATAGTTTAGGATAGATAAATCTTAATCGATTAATCAAAATGATTTCGGGTAGACAAAGTAATTATATTTTAAGTCGGTTATTGTTTAAAAAAGGGTATATTATGGTATGGTCAATGGTCATGTTAAAATACATAAGTATGTCGAGTGATATCAACGTGCAAAGCATTCCAAACTGCGGAGGCGCGCTTTCCAGCGCCTCCTCGTCTTGTCTGATGGCTTCTATGGGTAGTCCATCTTAGATGGATAGAAAAATTGTGGTCATCAGCAGTGCAATTCTCTAAGGAAACAAGAATTTCAAACGAACTTTATGTAGTAATAATATCATTATTTTTTTCCCGGCTCGCTGTTATTTCCTGAACATTTTTTAAACTTTATAAGAAATATTCAAAACCATTTCCATCAAACGGTACCAAATTAGCAAGCTTCTTTAGTCTAGAAAAAACATTGCTCAGATCATTCATCTCCCCAAGTCTTGCTCTACATATAATTAGAGGCCAGGTGATGTCCTCGTTAAGCAATACTCCAACATTTTTTTATCGATTGTAGTTCTAAATATTTCCTTATCTTAAAATTGGAATTTTAATGTTATATCTTTAAATCAATGTCAAACTCAAAACTTAGAAGCCATTCAAAATGGCAGTAACAACAAGATAATCATCGACTACAAAAAAAATTACTAGCGTTTGCGTATTCAACGAAATATTAAGAGACAAAACCTCAGACTCGCAAGTTTGTAGGTAAGATAAGTCTATTTATCTAATTACAAGGTTACTAAAAAAATACGGTTTTATCTTCCGCATACTTGTCTACATACAAACTTAAACCTCGACATTTCACAGATTAATTAAAGGAAGAAGAGATTAAGGATTTTTTTAAATAACGGGTACTCAACTCGCTAATTAAAAAAATCCTGTGAAGATAAAGCCTAAAAACTGATGCATGCCTGATCTATGAACACATGAATGTCTACATATATCTATTTTTCTATAAAATTTGTAAAAACCAACAATTTTAAATGTAGCCTACATACATTTCGTTATAGTCCAGCACTGGGAACTTGTTTTCTGCTAGTTTTTACGGCTAGACGTATTTAATTTGTCCAAATCGGAGCGTAGTCGCTTATGTAAGACCTCAATACTTACAAAACGTATAATTGCGTACGTATGTAATGTATAAAAACAAATTTACTAATCAATTTAGCAATATTTCTGCAGGGAACACTTTAAACTTATACTATTGTTAAAGAATGAATATTATTATACCTATAAAACTGTATGTGTACAGTTTTTATAATTAAATTAAGTACCTATAGAGTAATTAAATTTTTAAAAGCACTGCACAATTGTGTTTTGATTTTAAGAACTTATTAAGATTTTACAAATATAAATTACGTGATTAAGGAATTGATTATTAATAAAGACAAACCTTGATACACATTGTAAAAAAAATATCTTGATTTGCAATTACATCAGGCGTACATATTCTAAGTGAGTGGCTAAGACAAGGTTAACCATTCACTACCTATTTAAAAATAACAGTTTTCGTATCCGCCTTCATTAAGCAACATAAATAAGCAGTTATTAGCTTTCGCCCGCGGCTCCACTCGCGTGAAAGTTGTTTTATCCATCCTCCGGGCACTGAACTTTTTTCTGAACAAAAGTTACTCTTATTTTTTTTTTACCCTCCTGCCAATTTATTGCATGAACGCGTAACAGAAAAACTCTTGTACTTTCAATATTCATTGGAGTATTAAAATTAGTAATTACGACAAAGCTACAGTGAAAATAATATGGCTGTGTTTATACTTAGCTATAAAAGTAAATGCCAACTTCAGACCTATCCTTTAGATATATAGCTACTAGCTGACCCGACAAACGTTGTATTGCAAAACAAAAAAAAATTAGGGATGGGTCACCCTTACCATTTAGGGGTATGAAAAATAGATGTTGGCCGATTCTCAGACCTACCCGGTGTGCACACAAAATTTCATGAGAATCGGTCAAGCCGTTTCGGAGGAGTACGGGAACGAACATTGTGACACGAGAATTTTATATATATAAGATTTTAAATAATTTAGAAAACCAACAAGAAGCGCACAAATCTGAGTTTATTTCAGTGACATAGAGATTGCATATTTCGAACAAACTACTTCAATAGCTGTTTCATGCCAAACGTGCACATTCAATCTAAACTCAAATGTGAATTTTCTGGTAAATAGTACATATTTAGATTATTTATCAATTTTAAATGTTTTCTTCAAACGAGTAAAGTTCATGGTGACTTAAGAATTTAGTTTTGCAATTATATATAAATTAGTTGTAACGTAATTAACCTAAATAAATATCTTTTGTGTTGCAGTTTTTCCTGATTTCATACATTTCATTGCTTTTTATCTCAAACTCACTTCATAACTTACTTCCTCACAAGCATTAATTATTCGATCTTATCCCTTTCAAATAAATTTTGGAATTAATCTTTCTACCCCACAAGTAGCATACGTTGCCTATTCAAAAGTTCGCCCCTTCAATACCTTATCAAACAATCATGTATCTCTTATTAGCTTTCAGAATAATAGTGGTCACCTCGCCGCTTCCTACTGCGCTCAGTGTTGTGGGTTCGATCCCCACATGAGACAACACTTAGTGGGATCCACAAATTATTGTTCTGAGTATGGGTGTCCTTTGTGTCCGTTTCATGTATGTTTGTAAAATCCCCCTCGACACAGGATTTATTCCTAGTGCGAAAGTTGTCTTTTATAATGAAAAAATAATAATACAGTGAATGCATCGAAGATCATAGTCATTTCATCATTATTTCATTTCAATTATTCTTGTGTTTTAATCACTGCCCACTGTCCGGAATACAAAGTGTATACCAGAGAGAGGACTGCGAGTGTACTTTTTCAAGTAGATTGGACGTTTGACAGCGTCACCATGACGCCGAACGCCGGTTTATAGTCAAAGTTAAACTATACAAGTGCACTGGACTGGAAAGTTCGAGGTTCTTTTTTGTAATGCGGCCCACATAACGCATTTTCGCCTCGATTGATTACGCCCCGTCCGACCGTAAAAGCTGACCTCTTTCAAATTGTGACTGTCTTCTGGGAGTGAGATGACCTAGTGATAAATTCGGCCAGAGAAGACGTAGTCCACTTTGATAATAAAAGTTCTTATATTGGTTTCTGGGCATGAACGGGTACGAAGTGTCCATTAAATCCTTGAAGCGTCCAAATTGATAGAATAGAATAAAATTCGATGCTGGTGGTCTAGTTGTAGTGATCCTTACTGCTATGCCCGAGGTCAGGTATACGATTCCCACCCAAAACAAATAATTGTGTGATGAGCACGATCATTAGTTGTGTCTGGGTGTAATATCATTTCCATTTTGAAAGACCAATTAAGTTATGTGCCTGTGGTTGTTAGGCAATCAATTTTCTTTGGTCTCTACGTCATACGTCTTGGAGAAAGCAATAGGCACCTAGCTGATCACATTAATAATAATAACTATTATCTATAACTAGCTTTTATCCGCGGCTGTCCGTCTGCATGTATGTCGGTTATCGCGATAAAATGAGCCTTAGTCTTACCTCAAGAATCAGTCTCTCCATGCCAAATCCATTAAAATCGGTTAAGCGGTTATTGATTTCCCATACAAACTTCTACCCCCTTTTTCACCACATTAAAGGTTGATTTCCGGGATAAAAACTATCCTATGTCCTATCCCGGAACTCAAACTATCGCTATAGCAAATTTCACCTAAATCGGTTTAGCGGTTTAAGCGTGAAGAGTAACAAATAGACACACTTTCGCATTTATAATATTAGTATAAATATATATATTTAAAGAGGCATAAGTATGTTTATCAGCACTCTGGTTACCATAGTACAGGCTCTGCCTAGTTAGGATCAGGCGGCCGTGTGTGGGATGTGTGAGGTTGTTATTATTATTAATGTGATCAGCTAGGTGCCTATTGCTTTCTCCAAGACGTATGACGTAGAGACCAAAGAAAATTGATTGCCTAACAACCACAGGCACATAACTTAATTGGTCTTTCAAAATGGAAATGATATTATTTTCAATAAAATAGAGGACTGCGTAAAATGGTAACTAAAGTAGGTACTAAACGTGAATCAAATTCTCATAGTCACAAACGTAACAAGAAAGTGCACCTAATTAAAGATTTACTGTCTAAAGAACATCGGTAAGCAATGAAATATATATTTACTATTCCAACAGAGCTCGGCGAAAACAATAGCAAGATTGCGAGGCTTTGTATCCTTAATTAACAAGAAACTTGAGTTTATTTCTAAACCAATACCTTAGGAAATAGCTGTTTGTTGATGCCTAGCTTGCCTAGGTGATATACTACACCGGTTATAAAGACCATTGTACTGTAGTGTTACTACGTTGTTATACATCGAAAAGCAAAAATATAGCGCTAACAATAAATTGTTTGGATATAGCGCACCGCTCCGCACGCTAAAATGGCAATACATTGTGCTCGTATGTTGATAAGTCATGAGATAAACTTATTACGAAAACATAATTATGCGCATGTTTTTCCAGCAACAAAAAAAAACCGACGAAACCCGACAATTTTTTGTTTGTTTTACGTAAATCCGTAAAGGTGTCCTATGATTTTATATATATGAGATGAGACTGAATAATGTTATAACCTTCACTTTTTTTGGGTAGGTGGACCACTAAACAGAACAGTATGCTTTTTGCCACTAATGTAGTAAACAATATGATTAACTTCTTGGAATTAAAAACTGCGATAATCCATTGATTTTCGTGCTATGGAGGATTGAAATTTTCCTTTTTGTATGATTTTTTGTTAGTAATTGAAGTTTACCTAATGACAATTTTTATATTTAAGTTGATTTTTATAAATAAGATTATTTTTTCAGTCTATTGTTGGTCCGTGTCAATCATGAACACGCTCATAATTGCAACATGGTAACACATCGTAAAACATACTAAGGTATCAAACATCATCATCATCATCATTAACAGCCTTTAATGGTCCACTGCTGGACATAGACCTCTCCTTCGAAAGGATGTTTTGGCCTACTATACCACGCTGGCCAGTGTCAGAGTCTCTCTGCAGTTGTGTTGTCCTGCGTAGTTTGCTTCCTTAGTCGCCTCTTACGACACCCACTTGATGAATAGGGGTGGTTACAGTCTGTATTCTTAATCCGTCACCACACGGATAAAATATACGGATTAAATATAACAACTTTAAAAAAAATTAAAATCGAATTTACCTTTTATATTATTTTTTCGTAAATCTATTGGTTTAAGTATTACATAGATATTACATACTTAAATATCAGACATTGTAACGTAAATGTAAAATTATGGAGATAATCCATTACCAACTGAGACTTATGACAGACGTCAGACAGAGGTCGGTGACGCGCCTTAAACAGTTTCTACTGTACAATTAATGTAGAAGACGTCACACGGCACCGTAGCGTTCAGCACTCGACGCTGGTACTGTTCCCACTCCACCCTCAACATTTCAATTCATAACTGCTAATTACATTACTTTTAAGTTCCATTAAGACTTAGTATTCTGATATAATTGAAAAATTGATGATACTGATATGATAAGGTTGTTAATAAAACAGTTTGATCTTAATTTTCATCCATCATTATTTCTTTATAGTAGTAGCTATGCATTTTGATACTTAGTAATATTATTCTACAGTAATAAATAATCCAACAAGACTCCAAGCTGAAAGAATGTTTATTTTAATGTTCAACACCCAGAGTAATCTAAATGATCTGTGAATTATTGACAAAATAATCTTTATGCATTTGAAAATAACAGCCATAATTGCCTGAATAATCTGATGCACTTGCTTTTGTATTTTATTTATACACACATAGCTGCATGTTATGATTAGTATGTGAACAGTAGCTTATAGTATGCTAGCATTGGCCACATTGTTTCACTGATGTGACGTTTAAAGCACCAGTTGAGAGCGAATCAAATTAATTTGTCTCATTGCAATTAATTATCCATTTAATTCTGACATTATAACTTATTTAAAAAATAATACAATTTTACCAGGTTCATTTATTAGCTGGGAAACAATATTGAAATAGAAATATATAAATTGATTGATCGAATATGTAAATTGCTTTAACATGTTTTATATTATAAGAGAAGATGGAAACCTATTTGTTTTAAGCAATTTCTTATTGATATTATGGAGGATTCAGAGAGAGAGAGAGAGAGAGAGAGAGAGAGAGAGAGAGAGAGAGAGAGAGAGAGAGACTAGAAATAGAGAACACTACTAACACTATTTTAATTGAAAAACAAGTAGTATTATGACTTTTCATTAAATTTGTTTTATGTTTAACTACTCAAAACAGATAGCCTTTCACCCCTTAATGAGTTCTTGCCTCTCTCTACAAGTGTTCTTTACAGATAAAATAATAATTATCATGTATTATAGCATAAAATATACTTTCATGGGAGCTTTTTTTATAATAAAAGCTAGCAATGAGTTTTATGTATTGACATAATACTTATTTGTTTTTGAAAATCTAGTAATTTATAATTAATGACACAGTGCTACAGGGATTTTTATTTTTAAATTAAGTAACAAATAGGACAGAAGAAATATGATATTGTGCGAATAACTGTACAAAATTGTAGAGAAAAAAATTAAATTACTAATCACAATGTTTCTCTCATTCATATATTTTCAAATAATCATTACTAATAATTATTGCAACTCAAAAGAGAAAAAGATTTAAGAAATATTTTGTTTATTACATAATATATTTACATACAGACATAACTGTATATATTTATTAATATTTTAAAATAAAAATAAAAACGTGGGTACTTAAAAGTTATTTTCTGTAGTAGAGAAGTATTTAAGTTGGATGCAGTAAAACAGTGTAGCTTTTCTATTTAAAAATAATGCTAAAATATTCTAAGTAACCCAGGGTCATGTGAAACAATGATAAATAATTAGATGTGTTACATTAGCCTCTGACATCATTATCAATGACAGGCTAACCACAATCAACAAGTTTTACCAAAATATTCAACTTTAACTATGTTGTGTAATTTTAAAATATACAGAAGCTTGAATCACTACAGCTAAATTAAAAAATATAGAAAAAAGTTTACACAGGTCTTATTAAAAAAAATTGATAAATAAAATACTTTTTTTAGTGTAAAAAATAAAATAATAATGTGTTTTGTGTTATGTAGCAAGACCGGTACTTTGGCACTCTGGTGCTACTTCCTCGATATCAAGAGCAAACAACTTTCGCTGCGGGCGGCGGGTGCGCGCGCGCTTCCTTCTTGTTACCAGCTGGCGCACGCGCCTGATTGCACACTTTAAAAATATATCACCTAAATGTACTTACTCCTAGCACCTCAATTAGGTACCACTATTACTGGCCCATTACGCAAGTCTTCACGTTTCCATGACCAGAGCTCACTCAGTCATTAAAATCAGTCAGCCCAAAGTGCAATTCATAACACATTCCACGTAACTAAAAATTGTCTGTTTACGAGTAAGCTGTAGATGAATAAAAGAGGAAATACTCACCGATATGTTTATCGCTCCAAATCCCAAACAATATAAAAACTGTCACTCACACGTTACAACACAAAACACAGATTATTCACCTCTTGACATCTGACATTGTTCAAAAAATATAAAATAATACCACTTATACATTTCACCATTAAGACGCAGGGATAAAGTGTTATCATAAAAACAATAAGATATAACAAAAGTTGAGCAAAACGATCGCAAAATAACGATACAAAACGTAAACAGCTACCTACTTTGACAGAAACATCCAAGAAACTGACACTTCGGCAGTTGCCAACTCCAAAACCACTTTCGCCTTTACAATCAAATGCGAGTTACCAACATTCAGATTTGAATGTCATACTACAAAAAAAACTGATACACCAATCACCGTACAGGTTGAGCAGTAGTGAGAAGAAACAGTATGTCTCAATAAATGAAATCAGTTTTATTACCTGATGGATTGTTCCTCCAGGACTTCAATAAGTGGATTATATGAAATAATTGCCTAAAAAATTCTAAACATAATTGGCATATTATTAACAACACAAAATTATTTCATTGCTTTTAATTTTTTATTTTAGAAATTAAGAGGTCAATAAAAAATATCTAACAAATTCTCATATGTAAGTTTAAAACTGTGCTGGTTTCTTTAAATTTCTAATTTTTATCGAAACTCAAAAATGAAGTGGAAATCTGTTAATTTAATATATTTAAATAAAAACATTTTTGTGATCCGTTAATTGGTTGTAAAATATTTTAAATCTCTTCAAGATTCTTCATTATCATCATAATCAGCCTTTTCCACCATAAACAGTTAACTGCTGGACATAGGCCTCTCCTTAGAGAGAAGGTTTATATTTTTATTTTTGTTTATTTTCCTATTCATCATCATCATCATCAGCCTATCGCTGGACATAGGCCTCTCCCATTGCACGCCACTTAGATCGATTTTGGGCTTCTCGCATCCAGCTCCTGCCAGCCATCTTGCGCAAATCGTCACTCCACCTGGCCTGTGGGCGTCCTACACTAAGTTTACCGAGACGCGGTCTCGACTCAAGAACTCGTTTTCCCCAACGGTTCTCGGTTCTGCGGCTAATATGGCCAGCCTACTGCCATATTAGCCATCGGTGACCTTGGTTCTCTGCCGGATCACCTCATTTCTGATGCGATCCCTTAGAGAAACGCCGAGCATAGATCTTTCCATAGCACGTTGAGCGACTTTGAACTTGTGGACCAGCCGTACCGTAAGTGTCCACGTTTCAGCTACGTATGTTTATTTTCCTATTAACGTTTCTTAGTTCTGTAAAAAGTTATTTTAGTGTGAATAGGTTCGGAAACTAAATATATTATTTAATAATAAAAAATATATATTGTACATGGAACAGTTAACATTGGTAACATTAAAGAATTGAAATAAAACTTAACAGAAGTAGACCTGTGCAGACTTGCAACACTAATTAAGCAGCTGTCATTTTCGTCGTCATCAGTAATCTGTCAATTCAGTTGATTGTTATCTCTACTTTTGTGCTAAAAATATATATTTAGACTAAAGAAAGGCTTTCCTTTGTGTTTACAGTGCATAACATAATAAAAAAGTGGCGTCAATAACGGCTTAATTATGTCGAAATTTGAAGATAATCCATTTAGTGATCCAACCATAGACAACCCATTTGCAGTATGTAGCCCTACAGTAACACGAAAATTCTAATGTTTTTATAGGTGTGATTATAATAAATTATTTAATTATAGGATCCCGCGGTACAGCAAGTGGCCAGGAGTACAAACAATGCAACACAGGGACTCGATGACTATAATCCTTTTGACGGACAACAAAATGCAAATCAAACTGCGGTAATATGTTATTATTAGTCATTTTAATGATATTTCTGTAGGTGTCGATACGTCTAAGCAACGGTATCTTTAATAGATAATGGTACATTATAATCACCTTGTTATGATTAATAGCTTTGTTATAAAAGTCATCTCTATTTACTATTTATTGATGTATAACTTTCTCATTTTATGGTCTAATCATGCCCTTTTACTAAGAAAAATTATTTCTAGAGTACACCAATTTAAATTTCACAACAAGTAATATTTACTGTGGATATGTTAAAACTGTCGTAAACTATACAATAAATTACGAAGTCAAGTAATGTTCTAATTTTTTTCAATTTCATTTAAAGCATACTGCATTTAGAAAGTCTGTACAATAAAAAAATTACAATAATTAGTAAGTAACATTAACTTTAGGTATGTGTGTTTTAATTGTGGACTATAACAGTCTCATTGATTACAAAAAGGCACACTTAAAGCTAAACATCATCATCAACAGCCTTTAACAGTCCAATGCTGGACATATGCCACTCCCTTGACAGCTAAAAATATCCACAAATTAAAAGTATTCTGAAGAAAAAAAACCCACTTAAGTAAGTTGAAAAATTCTGATGATGATATTTGAATAAACATAATTTATCATGAAAATGCTAAGTTTTATCTAAATCTCCCTATAAAATTTATACTCAATTGTCATCAATATTGCTCAGTACAGACTATAAATTGTGTGTAATAAACAATAACAGTCAGAAGAATATACTTATACTTACGAAATACAAAACTTTTCAGCAAGAAGCACCTCAGCCACCATCTCAACCAGCCATCATGCAAGCTGTATCACCTCCAGTCAGTGGACAGTACACACGGCCTCCGCAAATCCAGCAACCCAATCAACCGCCACAAAATTTCACAACTGCTGACTTTCAGGTATGCACCCATTAATAAATGATAATAACTAATAGAATAATGAAAAACTTATGGAAAAAAAACTGTATACTCACTGATGACAGTACTTTCTATGGAGAATATGCGGTATGATGGCAGATTAAGAATATGGAGTTTCATCATCCATATTCATCCTGCGGTTGTCGTAAGACTGACTAAGGAAACTATCTATGCAGTACAACAGCACAGTAAAGAGAAAGAAAACTTGACACAAACCCTATACCAAATCATCTGGCCAGCGTGGTACAGTAGGCCAAAACCTCCTATCGAGGAGAGGCCTATGTCCGGCAGTGGGCTATTAAAGGACTATGCAGACAAGAAAGGATGCTTGTTCTTGTTTGATTTTCTTAATGTTTATGGCTTGTGGCTTTAATGCTGTTAAAGGAACGGCAATAATGTAGATAGATAGATAGATAGGTACTCTTTATTGCACACCATGGATAGAAAACATACAATGCAATATAAACATAAAACAAAAAGAAACAGTGGTACAATGGGCGGCCTAAGCGCAGTCTGCAATCTCTTACAGGCAACCTTTAGATGGACTATACTGTATAGTAACATGTAGTCTGTAATGTAATAATTGTTGAAAGTCAAGCAGTCGGCGATATGTGATTTATTGTGATGATTGTGGTTTAAAGTCAGATATTATACCTATTAACTGAGTATGCATCAGAATAAGGAAAGAATTACTTGTAAGTTTGATTGTGATAATATTCATCAAATTGCTTTTTCAAACAAAGGTTACTAAGAATAATAAAAATGACTCTACACAATAGTATATAATATATCTTATCTTAAGTATGAATTATTCTTTATCAAAATGATATATATCAAATTCATTTGCCTCCTAAAAATAAGCTTAATTATTTAGTAATGGTGATAGGAAACATTTAAAAAAAAGTACTTTAATGTTCATTAAGAGCCTTTAATAGTCCACTGCTGGACATAGACCTCTCTTTAGAAAAGAGGTTTTGGCATACTACACCACGCTGGCCAGACGGGTTGGTATAGGGCTTGTTTCAAGTTTTCCTTCTCTTTGCAGAGCTGTTCTCTTGTGTAGTTAGTTCCCTTAGTCACCTCTATGACACCCACGGGATGAATAGGGGTGGTGACACCCCATATTCTTAATTCGTCACCACACAGATAATTACTTAGTACGTGTAATGGTGGTCATCAGTACTGGTTATATTAATGATCACCTGACTAACTAGCTGGTTAAGGCCATATGCATACTATGAGTTTTAATACATATAATGTCATGACATGATGTCTCGTCACAGCATTGTATAATTTACATAGGAAGTTATGCTTATCCATTTACAATACTTTCTTTGTAGCAAAACTCCCTAAATATTGATGATGATTGAATGAAATTGATTGAAAGATGTATCATGTTTGTCTCATGTGTTTATTTCTGGTATGCCTCTCTAGGCTCTGGCCCAGAGTCTGGGGTCCTTTTTCAAGAAGTAAAATTACTTACTGCATCGGTAAAACAAAATATTAAAATAGAAAAATCTTTTAATTAGGCCTCAAAACTGTAAATTATAGTTAATGTACATAATTATAGTATTGCATGCCAACTAATGTGCACTTTGCTTTTTTCGAATCACACAAAAGGAGCTGAAGGTAAACACTTTTTTTAAACATATATATATTAATCATTATTATTACTATTAGTGAAGAATAGCTTTAGAATGACACCCATTTTATTAATGTTAAACCATACAAAACATTTGCTGCATTCATGTTCATGTCATTTGCGGTCATAATGTCATAATAATAAGAATTAACAAACTTCTATATATGTTTAAACCATCCAAAATTAACTTAATATGGTAGCTTAAATGTAGTCCTTTATTAGTCCATGTCTTGAACAATTTAATAGTTAAATGTTTTTATAAAAGTAAACTATCACTCATGCATACATAAACTCACGTCCAATGGGATAACAAGGGGGAGGGGTTCAGGTTTATTCAAGTGGGTAGACAGAGGAGTATTGCTATTATACTAGATACCTACTTTAAATTCAACGAGTTTTTTTAACTTAATAGAAATTCATGCATTAAAACTACAAATGTTCTAGTTTTGTTTGAGTCAGTTGAACAACTTGTATATTTAGTAAATAAGTTAATTTAAAACACAAGGATATTTTTTTAATACAAACAAATGTTTACACACCCCTATTGCCACTCTCATGAGTTACACCTTGATCAGTAAAAGTTGCATTTAGTTGTAGTACATTTTTACAAATAAACAAATTGAATAGCTTTAGATACCTTACACATGACCATCTGATTACAAGCTAGACAAAACCTGAACTGTGGTACCCAGCCTGTGTGAACAAAATACAAATTTTTTAACCAAACACAAAACAAGTCACACACACACACACACACACCAGACCAAGTAATGGTCTGATGTGTGTGATACTTCAAGACAACCTCTGGTTCAGCAGTCTAAATAACCACGGTACCAACAGGGCAGTCAAAAGTATTAATAGATACTAAAAAAAAAAAATGTCTACTACTATACTCATATGTCATAGCACTCATACGCTACTGCTGCACCATCGCAGTCAACGCCCATCCATGAATTATACTCCTACCTACCAAAAATCACTCAACGCGGCTTAAAAGTATTTACTTTAAAATTAATACCCTTTTAATGATATTTATGTCCAGCAGTGGACTGCGATAGTCTGATGATGATGAAACGATATTTATCGCTCTTTGGAATATCACTAATTTAACTACCTATACATTACATCAGAATAAGGAGAAGTTACTAGTAAGTAATAAAATAATAATAATATTTTGGACATCTAACACACAAGGAAGATTTGACTTGAGTTCATAAACTAGCAACACATACAAAATGGCGAATACAATAGTAATTTATTTTAGAAATATTTTCATTTTGCTAAAACAGATACAATACAAACAATGGTACTTACCGATGTAAAATGACTTTATAATTTTATTAAGTTCGTCCCTTATAATTTCTACACACTTTTATCACACAAATCAACAAACATATATAACATATATATAAACAATAAAAAAATATGAAAGCAACTTGTGCGTATCCAGTGACAGTACTTTTGTTACTAAACGCGGGAAAAGTATTTAGAGGACAACAGTTGGGCGCTATGTTTTTCTCTACTTTCACAGCTTTGACTGGCCATCTAGACACATAAATAATCTAAGGTCACAGTGTAGACAAAGCCCAAACTACAATTAATAACTTCATTTGTGTTGTAGGTATGACCTCCAAATTTTATCGTGTTCACGAATTAACCTGTCACATAAGAACGAATTTTGCTTACACTACATTTAAGTAAATAATAAATTAAACACACACATTTATCTATTTTCACACAGCACAAACGGCTACCTAGTTAACTATAATGAGTGTAAGCGAATGTTACACCCACTCAATCTCGTTAAATTCAAATTGCATATGTAGGTGTGAATCCATCCGTTGTAGATTGTCTCGTAAACTCAAACATGTTTTAGTTTTGTTTTAAAACTGTGCAAATAACCATGGATGTGAATGAACTACAGAGGAGACAAGAGGAGTTAGAGCGCAAAGCAGAGGAATTGGCCCGAAGGGAGGCAGAACTCCGCGCTGGCTCAGCGGGCAGGCGGAACAATTGGCCGCCTTTGCCTTCATTCTGCCCCATACAACCTTGCTTCTATCAAGATATCAATGTTGACATACCACTGGAATTCCAGAGAATTGTTCGACATCTCTACCACTTGTGGATGTGTAAGTATTTTGATATCATGTGTTTACATTTTATCACAACTTTTATAGATAAATTACCTCTTTGTTTTATCACATTAGTATAGTATAATTGAATACATTAAACGTTATTTGAGTGTACATTCTTCACAGGGGTGTACTTAATGCCAGTGGTAGCCTATCAAACAAACATGACGTTGGTGCCTATACACTGTTTTTAGGAATGATAACTGATTATGTATGCCTAAATTAAGGAAGTGACTTGAGGCTTTTTGTTAAATAATGTTTATACCTTCTTTTTAAAACTTACGATCAATAAACTTCAAAGAGGATAAGATGAACTATGAACTATTCTAGGTCAATAACTATTTCCTTATATTTTTTTCATCATACTGGTAAATAAAAATGCTTCATTCATACCTCGCAACTAGGATACTCTTGGTAATTTATTTAGTAGATTAGTTTCTTATGACGAAGCAACTATAAACATAAATTAGTAAACAATGTGTCTATATTTTTTACATCAAATAGGTTATTCTGAAGAGTAGCACATTCAAACATTTTATTTCTCATTGTACTGAGGTCTAATTAGTCAACAGACGGAAAAATATTTTTAATGTTATTTTAAACTATATTTTATTAGTGTTCAAATTTAATTTATAATTAAAGTTTTTTGGAATTATTATTATTTTTCTTTTGTTACAGTCCACGCTCTTGTCCTAACCCTAAATATTATTGGAGCAATGTCTCTGATGTTCGTCGGGCAAGGCTTCACGGTATTCGGACTTTCTATACTATACTTTATTCTGCTGACACCGTTTAGCTTCGTTTGCTGGTACAGGCCAATCTACAAGGCCTTCAGGAGCGACTCTTCGTTCAATTTCATGGTGTTCTTCTTCATTTTCCTGTTTCAAACTATTATAACACTAGTGCAGTCTATTGGATTCAGCGGTGGAGGTTCTTGGTGAGTCCAATTTAATGTTTTGCTCTGAGATCTTACTGTTACAAATATAAGATGTGATTTTAATCATTATTTTTCCCACTGGAGTTTTCGATGGAGGACAAACCGCCTGCCTTGTTGTGCCGATTTCCCACTGCAGTCCTAATGATGACAAGGGCCATTTAAGTCCTCCTAGTAACCCGGCTGCGTAGGCCACACGTACCCTAACAAAACACTGAGGTCTAGTTTGGGTGCTATGATGTAGTCAAACCAATCATATACTCAATTTACGAGTGTCGTTGTTTATTGATTATATTTCAACAAAAAGGAAAAAGACAATGAATGTTGTTCCAGAAACAGTGTTTCTGTTATTTTGTACCTTTTAAGATAAGATAATTTATTCTAAAGAACAAGGGTATGACACATTCTAAAACATTACCGATATCTTGTTTGTTGTACAAAATGATAAAGGCCACCAAAGCTGACGCCTGCTTCAGTCAATGATTGATTTACATTGAAAGTGGTCATTGCATAAAATAATAATAGTTACCGACGACACTACACAAAACATGTATAACTAAAACAAACCAGAGTATTTTTTTAATGGATTCTATGTTTTGTATTTCTCAACAACACCTATATAGATTAAAGAGAAAAAAAACATTTTTATATGTATAATATATGTATGTATTTACAAAAAAATTGAAATACAATATAAAAATATATCAATCAGTTAATAGCTTTTATAGTACAAGCTCTGCTTAATTTAATGCTAGCTGGCGTTTTGTGTCAGATGTCCGAAATAACAATTTTAATTCCAATTTTAATGCCAATTTTTATTTGCCTTGACAAGACCCACTTGTCGTGGACTTCTGATGCAATTAACGTTGATAGGATGAAGACAGCAACGAATGAATCAAATCACCGCGATTACTGGAGGTACAACCTCCTCCCCGTAATTCTGGAGGGACCTTGCACCTACACAAAGGCCGGCAACGCACTTGTGACTACTATCGGTATTAGGGATGGCATAAAATCAGGAATCACCTGATATAAATCATATGAATTACAAATCATATTATCACACCTAAGTTACAAACCACTTATGATTATGCTTACGCTAAAAAAGGTCGTAGTATTTGAAAAATGTTTGGTTTTTTTCGTTGCTTAAGTTTTTGATGGCATTTATCTTTGTCAATGATTAAATCCCAGTAGTGATTTATCACAAGTGAAATAACAGAGATTAGTACTAATAATTGCATCATATGATTATGGTTAAAAAGTAGCAATAATTTGCATCACTAATGTAGTCACTAACTGTCAGGTGACCTGTCCGCTCGTTTACCCCAATATCATAAAGAAAAACCTTAATTTGGAGGCAGATGTTGGGAAAGAATCACCTAAATGAAATTATCGTTCATAAATAAAAATATAATAAACTATCTTTTTTTTTGTACTAAAATTATATTTAAAAAAAAATCTTATAAAAGTATATCTCTCGTAAAAGTATATAGTAATATAATTAATACTTTACAGCGGACTCATCACCAGCATCACGGCATTCAGTATTAACATTGGAGTAGGCCTTATCACATTGCTGGTGACTATAGGATTCATCATGTGCGTCGTAGCCGATATCCTTTTAATGGCGAAGGTAATGTTGTAATTATATTTCATCTAAAGGACTACTTTTAAAGGGTGACAGTGGTAGAGGAATGCAGCCGTACTACGTGACCCGTTTTTTTACCCCAGTCCCCACCACCCCACACTGTAACAGCCTGTACTAGTCCACTGCTGGACATAGGCCTCTTCTTAGAAAGGAGGTTTAGGCCTACTATACCACGCTGGCTACACGAGTCGGTAAAGGGTTCGCTAAGTTTTCCTTGTCTTTGCAATGCTGTATAGAAACCACACGGATAGTTACCGTGCTTAAAATACACAAACTTACGAACCGTGTGTACGAACTTTTGTCGATTCATCCTACATACATAGAGTACACATAACTTTTAGAGTATACATAACTTTTCAAACACGCTCTTAATGCCTTAAATGTTTTATTTAGTGTTATTAGTGTTTATTTGTTAGTGTATAGTTAGTGTTTATTTCTTCGTATCATTTATCTTGAGTTGTTTGATTCGAAAAAATAACATACTCGAATAGGTGCACCGCATCTACCGGTCGACGGGCGCGTCGATGGCGAAGGCGCAGGCGGAGTTCACGACGGAGATCCTGCGCAACCAGCACGTGCAGACCGCCGCGTCCAGCGCCGCCGCCGCCGCCGTCAACCAACAGATCGCCAACGCCAACCGCTACTAACGGTCCGTTCTCTCTAATATTGTGCTACATCTGTTTCTTTACCTCTTTTTCTCTATTTCTATCGCTGCCTCTCTAATTTCTAAATCTCTCTCACATTGGGTTAGTTATTAAAATCTTTGAGCATTTTAGCAAAAACACATTTTATATTATTGTAGTGAAATAAACCATAAACTAGCCTCATGAAGGATTTTTCAATAAGTTACTGCAAGTTACGAGTTAACTCTTTTATTTTTTCTTATATTTAAAAAACAATACACGAATCTGTATTAACTATACTGAAGATGAAATATCCTAATTGACGAATAAAATCATTTTCTCACATTTTTAATAAAAGAAGGGGTTTAACAATAATTAACAAAATATGAATAGGTACACTTTTTGTTTACTGTTTTAGTATTATTTTGTTTGCAGGTGTGAACGTGTTGACCAAATGGATGATCGCTCTGTTAGTGCACATCGGGAGGTTACGCAATAAAATCATAACAAGTATTAAGTATTTCTGATATTGCATGTTTTTCTCTGACAGTCATTTTATCGATTAATATTCTTATATTAATGTCGTTTTTCTACCTCGAGTTTGATCAAACTTTATGATAGCTCGAGGACAGTGTTCTTGTTTTACATGTAATTATAAATTGCAAAATATTTGAAATATAAAATGTAGTCTCCGACATCCTATTTCATTGCTCTGACTTCTCGTTATTATTAATTATTATGTTTGGCGTGTGCTTAGATGTTGGAGATAATGAACAGTAGTTTATCGGCCAAAATTCATAATGGCTGTGTACGAAATGCAGTTTAACAATTATTGCAATTAATTTGGCGTTACAATACAACGTATAGTGCAACTGAAAATAGAAATAAATTAAAGCTTTTTTTTTAATAGGCCAATCGTTTTTATAAGTCATTTCTTTTGTTAAAATGTACGTTTATATTTTCATAATAATTTACTTAAAAGTTAATGTTCACCTCTATTATTTGTAGCACTGTACTTACACAAACAGCATTTCGGTATTTTAATATAATATTACGATATTTATAGGAACATTATGATACGCAGACGATTTAGTTTATTGCTAACTGTAAAGGTTATTTTAATCGACATGAGCTTACAAACGCTTTAAGATTTACGTACCTACTAAAATTGTGGAGTCTTCATACAATTACTAACAATCTTATACCAGGGTGTATTATTCCTTAGTGTAATATTAACACTACAACGGTTGACAGGTTTTGATTGAACAAATATCAAGTGTTTATTATAATTATTGTTTTGCCATATTAATATTGTATTCATTAATTGATTTGACTATTATACATGTGGTAGAACATCTTGTGTAGACATTCCAGAACTAAATGTAAATATCGTATTTGATCACTAACGGTGTAATGAAATTATATTTAATAATCGTTTAACGTTTTATATTACAATACATTTAAAATCGTATAATGTCGCTAATAGATGTGTATGTATTTGGACCATTTACTTAATCAGTAGTATTTCCATGCGTGTGACTCCCTCTTGCCCTGCGTTGAGACTATTTATTAGATGCACAAGACTTCAATTTTAGTAATTATCGTTGTATAAATATAATAGTGTAAGTTGATAAACGTTTAAGCATATTTATTAACTAGTCTTTGGAAACCTATGGACTAAACTTATAGACCGCTTACAAAATTGTATCCAATCCAATCTAAAGTTGAAGTACGTGGCTGCGACACAGTTCAGTGCGCGATGTCGTGTACGTACGTTATATAATCTGGGCCTAGCATATTGTAAATTATTTAACAGACCGTCCTTACCCCAGATAAACGGTAAGCGAAGGCGTGTAGATTTATCTAAATGTTTAAACTGTTTTGTAACGATTAAGTCATGTTATAAACTTATGATTAATAATAAATATAGTTTCAGAAATTGAGTTTTTATTTTAACATTTAAATGATCAGTTTAGATCTCAATTCCTACTTCCCTGTGTTTCTTATCTATAGTAATATTATAAAGCTGAAGAGTTTGTTTGTTTGTTTGTTTAAACGCGCTAATCTCAGGAACTACTGGTCCGATTTGAAAAATTCTTTCAGTGTATGATAGCCCATTTATCGAGGAAGGCTATAGGCTATATATCTAAGACCAATAGGAGCGGAGCACCAATGAAGAATGTTTCAAAAACGGAGAAAATTTATTACTATTGAGAGACGCAGACGAAGTTGCGCGGGTCAGCTAGTATTTATATAAAATAACACCACATCAACGGCCTTTACTAGTCCACTGCTGGACATAGGGGTCTCCTTAAAAAAGAGGTTTTGGCCTACTATACCACGCTAGCCAGGCTCAAGCTCAAATTATCTTTATTTCAATTTTTAAATTGTTTGAAATCGTCTCTCTTGTAGACTCAGTCATAGATTAACACACAACGGCAACAATCTTGGTTTTGTTAAATATTGAGCAAAATAAATATGTATGTAAACATTTATATAATAATAATATCTTTATTCATTTCTTAAACATGTTACAATCTAGTGGCTGGGATCTCCTGTTAGGCAATGAGAAGCCTGTGTTAGGAGACTCCGCTCCTCCTAATATTTCACAATAATGCATAAGTAGAAAAAAAAATGAAATAAAAATGCAACTGTATTAAATAAACCAAACCAAGAGAGAGAAAGAAGATCATTAAGCTATTTATAGGATACCTACACTATTTACCCATAACAGTTTACTGACCCACATATATTTTAACACTCATACACATACCTACACACATATGTATTAGTCTTATTCTGCAAGTCTTAAGTTGGTAGGTAAGTATTATTTTGTAAAAGTTAATGTTAAATAATTAATTGAGTAATTAGGGTATAAAATGTGTGCAACGTGGATATTCAATGTAGGTATTAAGTTAATATGCTTATAGTTAAAAGAGCGATAAGTCGGCCTATTGCCGCTGGCTAGTTGGCTCCATGGTGGCAAATTGCCTATTGAGTCAAAGGTGGCGGTTTCAATTCCCGCTCAGGACAAAAATTTGCGTAATGAGAACAGATGTACATGTACCGTTTCTGGGCGATCTATCTATTTCTGTACGTTTAACCTGGCGCCAGACGACCGTGTCAGAAATTTCCCACATTATTATTATATTTCATTGTATAGCAGTGACTCTGTCTCTTCATAACTCAGTGTCATCAACCATTTACCTAAGGTTCTTTTACATTCGTGGTAGTGTTTAATATAAATATTAATCTCCTTATTCACTTGATTGTATAAATATGTCGGAAATTGGATGCTAGCAAATTTTGATTTTGTTATAGGGGCTTTAACTACATTCTGTTTTCTGCACGGATGGCGTAGTGGTTTAAGCGGTCACCTCGCCGCTTCCTACTGCACTGAGTGTTGTGGGTTCGATCCCCGCATGGAACAACACTTTGTGTGATCCACAAATTGTTGTTCGGAGTCTAGGTGGTTTGTTTTACTAAAGCAAATATAATTTGTCTTAGCTGTGTTTAAAGTAAGTAGGTTATAATTTAGCCAGTTAGCTATTCGCACCATACCCTGCTGAGCACCAATCTTTCTCCCTCCAGTTTAGCCATGTTTTCTATCCAACAGATAGTCTTTTAACAGAAGGAGTGGAATTTCCCTGATACCAATCCTTTCCAGCTCGTGTAAAAGGATTTCATGAGACACAGTATCAAAGGTTTTTATTAGGTCAAGGATAACCGCTAGGCTCTTTTTATGGCTTTCTAATTGTCCCACTACCTGTCTGTGCCTGTGCTGATCTACAACTGCCCGTTTCCAAGGAGCTGAACCTTATGAGAAGAAAGGGCAAACAAATTCACGGCCACTCTTTTTCAAATAACAGATACACACAATCGCGTCATTAAATTTACACAACATTGTTTTGATGTAAGTAGTATGTAAGTTTTAAGGCCTAAAAGGTAAAAAGGCAGTGAAGGGCCAACAAGATATAGAAAAAAGATGGAATACAAGAGAAAATCAAGTAACAAAAGACTAGCCCACATCACATTTCCACTACGAAGTAGCCTGTGCTAAATTAATTCCAAGCATTCTTGTCTTCTATGTAATCCACAATTGAGTAATAGGCTTTCTGACGGGTTGGTATAGGGTTTGTGCCAAGTTTTCCTTCACTTTGCAGTGTTGTTGTCCTGCGTAGTTTTGCTCCCTTGGTCAGCTCTTACGACACCTAGGGGATGAATAGGAGTACACTGTATTCTTAATGCGTCACCACAAGAATATAGATATAAGAATAGAGAAAAATATAGAATAGAAATAGATTACTATAAAAAAGTTTATGGGGAGAATGAATCTAAAGAACATTGCAGCGTAATCAATCACTACTGTTGTCATCATTTGTCACGTGCCAAATCTAATATTTTAAATTTGAGCTAATAGTTACTGCACCCTCAGTAGGTAGGTACCTACTGAGGGTGCTGGAAGAAAATATTCATATTCACAACATTAACTGCCTTATTATACTCGGTCTAGTGGTTAGCCTGACCTCTGTGCCAGAGGTCGTGGGTTCAATTCCTATCCACGATGTTGATGTGAGAAAACTCGGAATTCGTCAAGAGCAATGCGACCAATGAATAACAGACATGCGACCCTGAGCTGCTGAAACTATAGCTTGCGTAGAACTAGGACTTGCGTAGATCGCAGCATACTGAGTAGGACCAAATTAGCTGACAAAATGTGGCTGTCTTACACGTTAACCCTTCCGAAATACCGGGGTAATCGTATTTATGTATGTTAAATATAAAACATAATTTTTCTGGTATCAATTGAACTTTATCGCGGCCGTAAGACCCGTTATGGACGATTGGCTCGAGAGGCATCATGGAACCCTGTCATACCGGTTGACGCAGGTGATCACCGGCAAAGATGCGTCGGAGATCACCTGTGTCTGATCCGCAAAGAGTCAACGCCTGAGTGCCACCACTGCGATGACCGTATCGCGGACACGGCGCTCCACACTCTGGCAGAATGCCCGGTGGGTTGAGTAGAGGCGCGACCTCGTGGCGACCATCGGAGTGGGAATCCTCTCGCTCAGTAACATGATTTCCGCTATGGTACGGAGCAAGAGTGCGTGGAACTCTGCTGTCTCCTTCTGTGAGCAAGTTTTGCTTGCAAAGGAGATGGCGGAGCGGAACCGGGAGAGGTTTAGAACTCTCCCGGCCCGCCAGGTACCGCCGACGACTCAGGGTGACAGGTGATGCCATCTGTCACCCTAGCAGAAGCAGGCCGGGGTGGTAACGACGTGAAAGTAGCAAATGAATTCGTCGAAAGGTGATGGAAAATATTATGCGAAATAAAATGTTTTTACAATGTAACTTTATTATTTACATCATTAACAAATTGAACGTTGTCACAAATTATCTTACAGTCAACCGAATTACTTATGGTCTAAAGTAAAAACACGCAATTATCCAAGTTCTCGCACAGCCCGTCTAATATTTGTGATATTGCCTGTGATTTCACGTGTAAATGTGAAAGAAATATTTGCCGTGTTTTAAGAGTTTCAAGAGTACATACACTTCTGCATATATTTTAAGTTTCAGTATTTAGCAGGTGTAAATTTTTTCTGATTGCTAGAGATTCATAAAAGGGTATAGAAATCGATAGTATTTTTACAGAAATAACATGCACATACATTCGTAAGTATATTTATTACAAGGCACTAGAAACGGGCCTGTTACGGGTTTACGATATCTTACGTTTTATCGAAAATTTCTACACATTTACATGTTACTTTATTACCGATTTGGAGTAGACAACGATGTCACGATGCGTATCTTTGTATAAAAACAATAACATTTTACATCGAATGTGTCAACCGAATTCTATACAAGCGAGGTAATAAAAATATAAACAAATTTCACAGACGTCATAAGAAGTTTTCAAGGATAGAGGATGGTGGAGCTGGTGGATGAGGCTAGTACATTGCTTTAGCTTCAAAAATGTATGCGTGTGCATGACTAGGGCTGCGGCGCGTTGGCGTGTGCGTGTGCTCCGAGGCGGGCGGGGTCCTGGCTGGGGTAGTGCAGCGCCAGCGGGGCGGGCGGGGGCGGCGCGCCGGGGCCCACGCCCGGGCCCACGCCACCCCACGGCGCCCAGCCCGGGCCCCCGTAGTGGTGGAGGTTGAAGAAGTCGTTAGGACGATTCGGTGGCGGTGGCATCTGCAATAATAATCATTATAATTCTTTTATTTCTTGACCAAAATATTTTTCAGAATTAGTTTGATTTTTTTAATTCTAGACTTAAAAACTATGATTACGAATATGTTAAAAACATTTCAAAAAATGATAAGTACGTGTGTTATAATCTTCTACAAAGACAACTAACAATAAGAATTAAGTGGTAATATGTGAGATTATCGGGGACTCAACGACATAAGTATTATTTTCAACGAAAGTATCAGACAGCAGAATTTACAGATGCCAGCATTTTTTAAGATAAGGTTGCAGGATTCCTAAATTAATTGTCAAAATCTACAAAGCTAGTGTTATGTACACATTTCATGTTTTACTTTAAAATGATAATTTAATCAACATTTTTAACGAGCTAATTTGCTTCTAGCTAACTTCGTATATTAAAAGCTTAAAAAGATTTATCGGCGGTTATGCTTTTAAAATATGTTTTTAGCCCAGATCATATAATAATCTCAGAGCCATTTATTTATACATACCTGAGGTGGGAATGGATGTAAGTAAGCAGGTGGCGGTGGTAACGTTCCAGGCAGCCCGGGTACAGGTTCCAGTGCGGGCATCACTTCATTCTTGTCATTAGGACCTTGGCGACCTGTCAAATGACAATTCGGCTTAAGGTACAGAAGTTTCATAACCATTTCACCAACTCGTGACAGTAAGCTTTTAAGTTATTCATTTCTATAGAAGTTTGAACATGTTGTGGACTACTGGATTATATTCTAGTGATCGATGCTTTTTTTCAACTTGTTTGATCCAGTTTAACTGAAACTATGGTACACTCGTGGAAAATTTAATATTGACAACAGTTTTCTATGTATTAAGGTGATAGTCTACGCCTGTAGACCATAGTATGTGGTTGTTATATTACAAAAATGTTTTTAAATTTTGTAATGGGTCCTCCTTATAGGAACTGAATGTAACAATAATATGTGTGGTGGTATAAAAAAACAACAAATAAACACAATGATACAAACCTTGGGATTTACCCCACTTAATGGTAAGTCGCTTCCCACTAATAACAAGCCTATTAAATGTCTTCTCAGCAGCATGCTCTGCAGCACTTCTGGTGGTATATTGCACAAATGCACATTGTGCCCTAGGTACTAAAGTTAGAGACCTGAAAATATATACAAATTTTATTTTATTTTCTTCATGCACTTATGTACATCTGCAAAACAAAATATTATTATTATTCTTCTTATTATAAATACATATTGATTACATCTTTAAATTACTGGAGCACCCTGGTACATCACAAATACGTGTCTCCACAAAGACCTGAAAATTGAATTTGTCAAGGAGGAAATAAAAAACTCCCTACCTAAATACTCAGAAAGATTAAATCGCCATCCAAACCTTCTGGCAAGAGAGCTTATGTCCATTGAGCCAAACTCTACCTTCAAGAGGCTGAAAAGACGTGCTCCTCAAGACCTGTCTGCATGAGGAACTAGCGCCAATTTGGACATATCATTGGATACTGTGCCATACGCGCCCATTGTTTTACTTATTAAAATCCAGCTCAATGTCGTAGAGACAGATTGCAGGACAAAAAAAAACGTAAAAAAAAAAAAAAAAAAAAAACATCTTTAAATATATTAAAAATTTAAAAAATAGACCACCGACATCAGGTACAGGGACCAACACAACGGTGGACTTCAAAGATAGGAACTGCCACACCATACGAGTTGTGTCAAGGAGATCCGAGTCCGAGTCATAAGCCTTCTTATAGTCTATCCAACATGTCGCCAAAACTGTTGGCTAATGGCCATGTCTATGATAAGGGGCTACCAATCACCTTCTATATGAGTGACAGGCCCCGACCAAATGTTACGCCAAAATGTATTTATAACATTTTCATCTGGCAAATGCCCATCACTCACACATGGATCCGGTTCCTCCCATTTTCGATACACCCACTTCTCATTTCTTTGAAACATTTGATTCTGATTATACCAATTTATTAGTTTTTTGTACCGTCTTATCCTATTTGCCCATGCATAAATTTTCTGCGTTAGAAAGTCTATTCGCTCTGTGACACATGACATGTACTGTTGAGGTAGATCAAGGTGAAGTAGTAGTGACTTTTTCATCTATTTTAACACCAGCTACTCAACAAACTGCAATAGCCGCATAGTATAGAATAGAATGTGTATCACTAACATCTTCGCTATTATCAAAATGTATTATTATTATTATTAATTGTAATCACTGATTGTAAATATTTTTTTATCAATAAGCATATAAACAAAATTTACATATATCAGACAATTACACAATAGTTATATTATTTTTAATTAATGCTCAACTTACTAATACTTGACTATTTACATTTTAATAATTTAAGGAATAGAAAATAGAATAAAATAATTGACCACTGTCAATTCTTGGACTTAGACTTATGCACATAATATTATAACCAATTAAATATGTTAAATTATATAATGTATATTTTTATTGCATGAAGTGTGAATTATACAGAAAAAAAAACGTGTAGAAGCACAAGAATCATTATTACTTCTATTCTAATTCCCGAAAGTTTTTGGTCACATCCATACTTTTGATAGTAATAGCACTCAAGATTCCCATCTACAATTATAACTTAGTAAGTGACAAGTTCATTGAATTAGTTTTAGTAGAATAGTTATCCCTTGTTTAAATTTAGTTACAGCTTACTGTAGCCTATACAAAATAAAACAATAGAATAAATAAATTAAAATGGGCCAATGGCAGTTGTTGGACATACCTTATTTCACCATACTGGTAGAAGTGTCCTCTAAGTTCATCTTCAGTGATATTTTCTGGTAGATTGCCCACATACAGGGTAGTAACAGTTTTATCCTCAGGTGGAGGTAAAGCAGGCATAGCAGCAGCACGTCTCATCAGCTTCTCAGCCACTGGGTCGTTCACCCCATAGTATCTAGAAAGTCAAAGAACAGTGTGAAGTTAATTGGCACAATAGCTTTACAAATCAGAATGCCCAGATAAAGAGTAACATACATGTTTGCCTCAAAGCTAAACTATTTGGAGATATAATAATAATAACTTGACACTTCTCAGTGGTCTGAAAGTTCGGGCTCCATATTTATAGCAACTAAGCAGCTCACCGAAGGTGCATTCCAATTTCCCTCATGTCATTAGTACGTAACTAATTATAGATCAACCATAATTAATATTATTAACAAATGAGTTACTTAGTATTATAAATATTATTTAATCAATAATGTGATTGATTATTGTCATTGACAGGCTTTAACTAACAATAGTATAAAGAACTTCATTTAACCACATCAAAGATTTAAAAAATCATAAAGGTATCACCTAGAATTCAAAATTTAAAAAAAAAACATTGAATTGATTGAATGAAATGGATGTCATAATCATCCACGTGTATGGTACAAAGGCTTGTATGAGCAGTAACCCTTCAGTTCCATTCTGTTTAAAAAATGTACTGTAATGAGCAGGAGGCAGTATTAAATCAAAACAAGTGGTCTTGATTAATCATTCCATTGGAATGACAACCTCATCCTTAGCAATTAGGATTGCCAAGAATGAGACAAACAGGTCCGTTATGAATTATAGAAGTGGCAAAACATGGTTAAGTAAAGTAACTCACAACATATTAAAGCTTTAAACATTTTATTTTAAATAAGGATATTTAAGGAATGACATTTACAAATAAGTACATACCTGTCTTTAATATTTTGATCAGCCAATGGATCATCAGGGTCTGTTGGTTTCTCATGGCGATATGGACATTCCTCACCCCGTCTACATTCCCCTTTCACCCAGAATGAACAAACATGAGGTCTATTTCTCTTGTAGTATGGTGCAGTTCTTGCTAATCTCAGCAGCAAATCTGATGCTCCTTTAGATTTTAAAGCAGAATTGCTAGGTTGCGTTGAGTCAAACTTAGACATCTGACTATCCAAGTTTTGAATATAATATTCTTTATTTACTTCATTGCGTGGTAGGTCATCTTGTATTTTAAGTGCGGCGTCCCTTACTTGTATAGGTAAACCATATTCAAGATCTAAGAGGCAAGTTTGACACACATTCTTCAGCTTTGAACATGTCTGGCAGATCTCTGTCTTTTTAAAGCGCATCCGTGCGCCTGGACACCAACGAAATACAGTGAAGGGTCTTGCACATATTTTACATTCCTTGCCATATTTCTCCTTGGTCTGAAAACAAAATGACATTATGGTCAATGATATCCAACAATCTTAGTTAAATCTTAAACCTTAATTTTTAAGACTATGCATGTACATTATGGAACGCAATAATTGATTGAGTATTGAGTATAAAAATAATTACCATTCGAATGTAGGGGTTATCTCCAAGACATGTTTGGCACAAAATTGGGAAATCCTGCACAAAAAAAAACAATTGTTTCATTAATTGATGTTTGAAAACTTTAACAGCATTTTACAGAAACATTTAACAAATATCTCACCGAATCTTCCCAATTCTGACGATTGTAAGTATTTGTTGATTTAGATACAGCCATTTCAACTATTTAATTTTTTTTTAACTTCATTAAACTAAACTCACTTAAGCTACTTTTTAAACATCTATTTCTACTTCTATATTCTAATTATTATGTATAATATTCTGTAAATATCAACATTAAACACAACTCAACTTGGTACTCAAAAAAGAATGCGTCAACAAGGATATTGAAACGCTCCGTTTTTTTTTTTCAAGATCATAGACATTAGAGAGTTTCAGACGCAACATAGATTCATTTACAGGAATAGATCGGTAGGTTTTTCCTACCTTATTTGTAACTTTACTTTTTATTGTTTACTTTAGTTTTAGAAAACCTTCATACTCATAAGTAAATTAAATCATCATTTTTATATATATAAAAAGAAAAAAATTACATTATATTTCTTGCTAACGATGTGTTTTTATTAATTCATATTCCCGTTTTATTTTTTTGTGTAAATGTTTCTCTAATTTTTTTAATGCCAAAATCATATATTGTTCGAATCCAAATAATAAAAAAATCTAACTATATGTAGGGGACTTGATACGAGTTCTTTTCATATGAACTCGCTCTCGATGGCAACCGCATTCGGCATCGCGGGCCGAGCGAGAGCGAGTTAAGAGTTGAGTTTTTTGAAACGCTTGAAAACCCAGTTTCAGCTTTGAGTATCAGAATCTAGAAACTAAAGTTGGAATCGAGAGCTAGTGGATATCTTAAAAACAAGAAGGATAAATGCAAGAAACCAAGTGGAAGGGCACGAAAGCCAGAGAGATTAGAGTAGCATGTCGTGCGGTGTTCTGCAGGGGTCTGTTCTTGGGTCGTCTACCTGTTGTTGTAGATGGCCTTCCTTTCTAGGGTATACCTGGTTCCCCGGCTATTAGTACCCGAGACGGCGTGCGGTTTTAGTCGGTTCGAGTCCGACATGCCACCGATATCCGTGGTGGTATCCGAGGGGATTTCAGCACGGAAAAAAAAAGGGGGTTTGTTCTTGGACAACTCCTGTGGAACATGGGTTCGAGGTCGCCTCGACCGTCGTAACAGAGATGGTAAGAGAAAAATGGTAAGAGTTTGAGTAATATTGGATAATATTCTGAAAAAGTGTGTGACGGATGTAGAGATATTAAGGAAAGAAAAATAATTGCTAAAGTAGTGTGGGAGAGCCTGATTTCAATGTTATTAGTGTGTGTGTGCCTTGAATGGGACGTAACGCTATAGTGAAAGAATTTTTTTGACACAATTTAGATACGGTTATGATAGGTATTTCAGTTTGTGGGGAAATTTTTCGAAATCAAGAGGGTGGGATGGCCTGGTTCAGTTTGCCTTATCGTGATTTTGCGAATGTTAACACCTTTTTTCTAAAAAAAGATGAACATTTTATTACCTGTTAAAGTGGTGAAATCAGAACACAGATTGGTTATTTTCTTATCAGGGACAGGCTCAATATGGACTGCTATCAGTGGTAGGTATAACCTTTTGTAAATTAAAAGTGTAAAAAGAGAGCAAAGCAAGCGGTAGCAGTAGTCAGAACTGTAGGTCAAAAGAATCTGTTCAGACATCGCATTGCAAAACATAGGGAAGCAAGAATGAAAGATTTGAAGCACGTAAGATGTAATGAACGCTGATACCGGGAGGGTTTTAATAAAAAATGAGGATATAAGACACCCATGGAGAGTTTTCTTATGATGATCAAAAAACCTATGAATGATTAGAATGAATGGAAGTGTTGAATGCAGTGTTGAATGATGTGCATGTGAATATGGGATTACTAGATGATATTAGCATAGACGAAGTTAGATATTATATACCAGTTGAAGTATGGAAGTTATGTATATACGGGATTTTTTATTATGCCTATAAGAGCAAGCGACGTGGGATAGAATGGGATATAACGGATGTCCTAGAAGACTTGGACTAGACCAATTACCTCTGACTACTGAGTCACACGCATCGCGATATGCAGTCAAAATTAGACTACTTGCATCGAGAGGCAGGCTTTCACGGGTTTTAAAATCATTACCCGGAAGACCCAGGCGATGCGATCTGGTGTAGAAATTCGTACACCATTGCACTGACTCTGGAACTGGATTGACCACACTCTACGTGGGGACCCTGAGCATATCGCCAAACAGGCACTGCATTGGAACCTACAAGGGAAACGAAAGCGTGGCCACCCAAAACAAACTAGACGGCGCACTGTCGCAGATGAGGTGAAGAGAATCGGCAAGACGTGAAGTAAGGTCAAGTGCGAAGCTCAGGACCGAATGCGATGGAGGACTACTGTGGACGCCTTCTACGGGGACTTAAGATATTAAGTCAAATAAGTCTTGCAAGAAGAAAGAGTGCATGCGGAAGGAGGAAGTGATTTGGAAGTGGAAGTGATTTGAGCTATGTAAAGAGCCTAGCATTCATGTTAGGTCAGTCACAGGAAACATTGAACAATTCAGTATCTCTGTTGGCTGCCACCAGATATCGGCTCTTAGCTATGGGCTATGTAGATAATGGATCATCTGAGATGAGATATCCGGGTAGAGGCACCATGGTGCATACTGTTTGCAGACGACACTATACTGGTCGGTGAAGAGGAGTTCGAGGTCAAGCGCGGACTAGAGAAATTTGAAGCAAAGACTGGAGAAACTATTGGAGAATTTTGGCTTGAAAGTCAAATGAATGATGAAGAATTTGAAGCGGGTTACGCATTGTGTCATAAGATTTTGACTTTTGAGTCATACACAAACCAACTTTATGCTTGATGCAATATAACTAAATGCAATGAAATGTAAACAAGCCCTACCTAGCCTAGCCTAATCTACTATAGGACGGGAACAGAGATCCTCGATAACAATCTGTGACCTCTTTGAGTAAAAAACTGACAGCTATGACAAGACAAATTTCCATGTGGCGACACTACTGTCATCATTACGTTAATTTCTGGAATGTTGACTTTACTGTGAAAAATGGTGTTATCGAAATGGTTTCCGAGTTTAATAGAATAAATGTGAGCAATGAAAAGTATTTTTTTTCAATCATCATCTTGACAGGTTGAGAAAATGACTTGAAAATGAAGAACGGTTGTAATGAAACTTTGGAGGCTAAAGTTGCCGAGCGCACTGAACGAGCCAAAAAACTCTATCGGTGAATATTTTAATTTTTATTGTTTATTTTATGGTTTTTAATGTAACAATTAAAAGGATCTTGATATTTGTTCAAATTATGTGCTTCATGCACAAAAGGTCAAAGGTGAAACTTGTTGACTTAGTTTACGTATATTTTGTTAGCGTTGATCTTAGGAACTCACGCTTTTGCCTCACACTGTCGTTTAATCACACTGCGTAATAACAACATATCATCGTAACAAAATATAAGTCGTTTGTTATTTACAGGTATGTGAGCGATGTAGCGAGGCGTATTGGGGAAATGACAGCAGCAAGTCTAAGCATACATGACCTGTTCTCTACACAGCTTGAGGTTCAGCGACAAAAACTACGCGATAACTGTGAAAAACTAGTGTTTCTTGATCCAACAAACTATGGCAAAAAATCCCTGGAACTACTATGGAGAAAGGTTTATTATGAGACTGTCACAGCAGCAAAAAAGTTTCGAGAAACAGACAGTGAAAATGATAGCTACCTATTTACTCACATAGTATGTGGTATTGGCCATTTCCATCATTTCATTTCTAGGTTGGAAACAGAAATGAAGGTCCATCTTAAGGACTTAGATTATACTCATTTACTTAAAGATGAAGAGTTTAATGAAAATAAAGATGCTCCATCTGATGATGAAATCTTATTTAGTCGTTCAGCTTTGCATTCGTGTCTAATATATCTTGGAGATCTATGCCGATATCAGGTAGAAATATTTCATGATTTCGATCCATCAATTGCAGCCCGCTATTACCTTCAGGCTGCTCATGTTGACATGGCTTCAGGCATGCCCTATAACCAACTTGGAAATTTATATCTTGACAAGAATTATAATTTAGATTCAGTCTGTTACTACATACAATGTCTAAGTTGCACTTCTCCATTTGATGGGGCAATTGGAAATCTTACAAAAATATTTGAGAAAAATGGTCAGTGTTTAGATTCAAACAGCCATCCTGAAACATTTACTCAAACAGAACATATACAAAATACAATATCAGATTTTTTGTCTTTGATAGAAATATGGTACTTGAGTAAAAATGATACTAACATACCCCAAAGATGTGGTACTATTGCCCAGGAGCTCAAAGTAGCAATGGACTTTGTGAGAAGTCCTTTACCAGATATGGATAAAAATTACAATGAATATGTACAAGCCCTTGAAGAGGAGGAGTCCAACCCATCATGTTTAAATGCAAATCTTGTACACAAAATTGTGCTTATTTGCTTGTTTACAATAACAAAGATAACTGAGACAGATGAAGTGAAAGCTTTTGCTTGTAAGGCTTTTACCTTAGCCTTACTATCACAATTGCTTCAAAAACTTTTACAACAGTTACAGGCTCTTGGGCTTAAAAATCCAGCCAGTAAGTACAAACCAAAACATTACATACAGCAATACTCTGCTACTGATTCAAATGTAGAACAAGATCAAAGAGAAGAAACTCCTGAATTGGAAACAACTCAAGATAAGGACATTAAAACTAATTCCAAGGAAGATGTGCAACATGTACCAGAAAATATATCTGAAGAAAATATTGAAGCTGTACAAAATGGTGATCCTAAAACCAATGCTAAAAAAACTGTAACAAAACGGAGGCGACGACGACGTCTTGCATCTTCAGGTAGTTCTGATATATCTGGAGATGATACAGAAGGCAGTGAAACAGAAACCTTTGAATCATGTTCTGATGATGAAGCTTTATCTGAATCTAGTAGCCAGTCAGATGATATTGCCCCAAGTGATGATTCCTGTTATGAACCTTCTGATAATGAAGAAGTTGCGAATATTGAAGATGCTATAGAGTCAAGTTTAAATAAAGAAGACAAGAAAAATATACCAAATGGTGACTTGGGTACAGAAACGGTAGCCAAAGATGTATCAAATGCTAATACAAATATTAACAATGAATTAGACGTACAGGGCTTGCAAAACTTTTTACATGGTGATAACTTTCTGCCCAGTATCAAATTACTTCAGGATTGGGCACTCAATGAAAAAGATTTGATTTTGTCTTGTGGGGATAGTGGAGAATCCCTTTTTCAATGTGTAGTAGATTTGCTCAATATACTAACATTTTATTTCAATCCAAAAAGTAACGAAGCTAAAGAATGCCATATTTTGGAATATACTAGAAGTGCTGCTAAAAAATTCAAACTTGAATATAAAACTATTCCACTTCCTGAAGACATAAACTTGCGAGGTACTAACATCTGTAAATTTGACAAAGATGCTGCTGAATGGCAACTTTTAGATAGATACAAACTATCTTTGTATGATGAAAATATAATAAGGATTCTAAATTTTGTTGATTTTGGAAATCATATTGCAAAGATAATACCTCGCATAAAATATAATAGGTCACTCAAGGTATTTTATTTTAAGAAAACTCCTCAGCCCAAACTTAACACAAAAATCAACCATAAGAGAAGCAGAGAATGGCACAACTCTAAAAAACCCCATGTAAGTATAATCATATACACAAAAGTAGGTACTATAAATAAATAGTCATTGTTATCCACTTCTTTCTTTTGCAGGCTGAATCAAATGAAGGCGGCTTATTACGAAGACTGGGCCGTCTTTGGCTGGCATCACAGGTGCGCGAGTTAGAACGTACTGGTCAGACTCCTGTACCTGCACTACTTGCTCTTGACACTGCCTCGCTACACAAACACTTAAGACGTGTGAAACAACTACTGCGCGCTCGGCACTTTATACTTCTTATTCCGTCTGTTGGTAAGAAAAATACAGATTAATGCAAAGCATATTTAAAATTCCTATAACAAAATATTAATACCTATTAATTTTGTAGTGCTACAAGAGCTGGATAATTTGAAAAGGGAGGAAAGTACAGCTCGTGACGCAATTCGTTGGCTTGAAGTTCAATTGCGCAGTGGATCGCGTTTCTTACGCGCCCAGCGACCTGGTCAATCTAAACCATTGCCTCTGTTGAAGTACCCACGGAAAGCTCCACCTCACATTCAGAACTTTATACAAATTTTGGAGTTCTGCAACCATCTCATTGCTGAAGATAAAAATATTCAGGGTGGTAATGGAGACCCTGATAGTTCATTACAAAGTAAATCTACACCATTACTGATACTGTTAGTTGGTAATGAACGAGTTAGTGATGAAGAGAACTACAAAGAATTCAGTGTAACTGGTGCTGCACATGCTGCAGGAATTTCCGTAGAGTTTTTCGGTGATTTCTATACCAAGTGGCGCCAAAGTATCCATAAGAATGGCAAAAAGAGATGAACACAACATCAAGAAATTCGGGACTCAGATGCAGCAAACAGACAGACAAAGATGGTCTACAGTTTCAGTGTAAAGAAATGGAAACAACTCGTTGAGAGAGTCAGGATGGCATATTTGCGCGCTTACAAAAGCTAAGCACAAAGCAAATTTTATCATCAATTGAATATCGTAATCGGTATTTGTTTTCGCAGGGATTTAAAATTAATAGTGGGTATTTTACCTAGCTATTGACGTTTTTACTAAAAGATTTAGATAAGATCATTTTTCACATTTTCATTGTCTTATTTTTATTTTATGTTTATGATCATATCATTTGAGGCAATACATATTCATCAATCATGAGCATTCACCCAAAGCATGTTATTCATCATCCATTTTAATCAATAGTCAACGTTCATTTTATTTTCTTTTACTTGTGTGCAAAATGCAAAAAAAATAGTTCCATAGTATGATTACATTTCTCATTGGAATAAAATGTTATCATGGCTACAACTTGTATTTTTTTATTGTATTGTGTACTACCCTCATGAACAGAACTATGCATTCCTCCTCATTTAAACTAGCATATAGACTTCCGCAACAAGCATAGGTTATTTCTTGCATCATTAACATTCCTAGAGTGGTCCTATACGGCCCAAGCAGCTGGAGCGGGCAAAGACGTGGGTTATTTTCGTCAGTAGCATGTACGGGTGACTTGGATGTTCGGTTACATGTATGCGTCTTGATCGTTTTAGATTTGACGGTGGTTGTCCACGGAGCAAGTAGCTGTCTGTACCTGCGCAAGTAACTCGCGCGAGTGCGCATGAGCCTCAACATGCGCAAGCTACTTGCATCGCGTGGAAGCACCCTTAACAATGAACGATTATTATTGACTGCCTCGGTTGTTCAGAGGTAGCGTATTTGACTGGCGTGCTGAGGTCTCGGATTCGATTCCCGGGTCGGACCAAATGTTTGTGTGATCTTCAAATTTTTGTTTCGGATTTTAGGTATTTTCTATGTAAAATAATTTTATATGTACCTATCTATTTACAAAAGTATATAAGTATTCCATTAGTCAATCTAGATTTAATAGTACAAGCTCTGCTTGGTTTGAAACTAGATGGCCAAAGGTATTATTCTATTAGGCCCGTGAAGTAGGATAAAGTCAGTCAAAGTTAGGAACTCTAGTATTTCTTCCAAATGAAATCTGTATAAAAACAACATAAACAGAAGAAGTCTTTGTGTAAATTGTAATTATATGTTCAGTGTATTTAAACTCCGTACGCAAAAATAGTATAGCATTTTAACAAAATTTCATCAGCCGTTTAGGAGTTCATCACATACACACGCACAGAAGAATGATATATACAGGGTTACTAGGTAAGTCGACCTAAATACGTCATGCGTTTTCGTCTTCATCAGTGAAACGTAAGCCACAGAGCTCAGATAGTAGCCTTGAAACAAAGCCGGTCGTGTGCGTTACCCCAGCAAAATAATGTCGAAAATGGTCATTTAAACGTTATAGATAATTAGTTGCCCCCCTTCTGTAATTGTTAAGCACATTTTTAAATTTGTTTCTCTTATATTTTTTTTGTTATTTCAAAAAAACATTTCCTGCTGGAGTAACGTTTGAAACGTTACCGCAGCCAGACATTTTCTTTTTTAATTGTAATATTGAAATAAATTTTAGCTAAATAATTAGTTATCTGGACTAGGTAAATGTTACAACTTATTTGGTATTTGTATTTTCTTCGGCTGCGAAGTTATTTGAAATCCTGCTGGGGTAACGTTTGTGGGTTTGCTGGATCTCTGAAACGGGTAAGCGGATTGTAACCATCTTTTGTACATAACTTCTTAAGGATTAGTTTTAATTTGTTCGACAATAAAATAACAAAAATAATGGACCGTTTAAAAATTATTTAGGTAAGTATGAAAACACTTCAATACGTCCTAACACGTTGAATAAGACCTCTAAAGACTTACTGTAAACGTTATTCTATTGCTTGTAACTGCCTTCAAATGTATACGAATTTTCGTTAGTATACTGTTAGTGACTAAAAAGTTATGATGAAATGTAGCTCTCCACGTTCACGATCACAATGTGTGCGGCCTTTTTTGGCCACCGATAAACCTGTCTGTGGATATATAAACTCAATGTTATACCAATAATTAGTTGTTTAGTTCAGTTGTCTACCTGTAAAATTTCAGCGTCGTACATATAATAATTTGCGAGATAATTAAATAAAAGTCATTAGAAGGTGCAAGACCGTGGTAACCCGACCATGTTTAGGTGGTTACGAAAAAGCGATCACCCAGTACATAGTGCTGTCTTTTAAAATGTTTAGTGTAATACACCTTACGATTTCGGTACAGTTGCGTACAGTGTTAAATACATTCAATATTTATTCATTATTATTACCTATTATTTATTATGTTTTTCCTAATTTTCCTAATGGATCTTAAAAAAGTCATATTAATTTAATGCCTCACGCGATTATTTATACATTATCATAATATTTATAGATTATTATAAATCTGATAATATCAGAATATATACAAATTTATATAAAACTACTTTTTAGAACTTAATCTTGAAATAACCTTGTTGCCGTCCGTCATATTAGTGGCTATCATAATGCAACGGTCACTTTACATGCTATGGTGGATACTTTAAAATTGTGAATTTTAATGTTAGTAATTTTATTTGACAAATATGTATTTAAAAAGATAACTAGAACTAGATGTCTGTGAATGAAAAGTATCGCTTTAGAAAGTAACTTACGTTTCTTGATACTCATTTTACAAAATGATCTGTGATTTTTTTATACGATAACTAACTTAATTTTAGAATAATAGGTATATACATTTTACTTTACATGACTATTTGAGATTGTAATTTGTTAAAAGTAAATCTTACATAATTATTTGAATGTAGTCAACTACATTCTCTGTCTGTGATTTTTAAATAATTTGTATAAACAAAGAAAAAAATATTTGAGGTATTTTAAATTAGAAGATAAAACAGTAGGACTTACTCTAAGTATTCTACTACATTGTGATGTAAGGTAATATTACCACAGATCTGTGATTTTTAACGATATAAGTAGGCATAGGTAGGTATAGTGAATTGAAAACATTCATTCTATAGGCTATATCTGTTATTATCTGTGATTGTTTTACATGAATAAGGTCATAAAAACAGAATTACTGTTTGTAATATTTATCTGTGATTGTTTTTAACTTTAATTAATATTTTAAAATTATTATTTTGCATATAAATAAAAATTATTCAAGAAACGTAGTTTTTTGTAACACTTATGTACATATCCGTACTAAACTTGCAAACTATATCCTACATATTTTAAAAGCCAGCACAATGTACTAGGTGATCGCTTTTTCGTAACCACCTAAACATGGTCGGGTTACCACGGTCTTGCACCTTCTAATGACTTTTATTTAATTATCTCGCAAATTATTATATGTACGACGCTGAAATTTTACAGGTAGACAACTGAACTAAACAACTAATTATTGGTATAACATTGAGTTTATATATCCACAGACAGGTTTATCGGTGGCCAAAAAAGGCCGCACACATTGTGATCGTGAACGTGGAGAGCTACATTTCATCATAACTTTTTAGTCACTAACAGTATACTAACGAAAATTCGTATACATTTGAAGGCAGTTACAAGCAATAGAATAACGTTTACAGTAAGTCTTTAGAGGTCTTATTCAACGTGTTAGGACGTATTGAAGTGTTTTCATACTTACCTAAATAATTTTTAAACGGTTCATTATTTTTGTTATTTTATTGTCGAACAAATTAAAACTAATCCTTAAGAAGTTATGTACAAAAGATGGTTACAATCCGCTTACCCGTTTCAGAGATCCAGCAAACCCACAAACGTTACCCCAGCAGGATTTCGAATAACTTCGCAGCCGAAGAAAATACAAATACCAAATAAGTTGTAACATTTACCTAGTCCAGATAACTAATTATTTAGCTAAAATTTATTTCAATATTACAATTAAAAAAGAAAATGTCTGGCTGCGGTAACGTTTCAAACGTTACTCCAGCAGGAAATGTTTTTTTTGAAATAACAAAAAAAATATAAGAGAAACAAATTTAAAAATGTGCTTAACAATTACAGAAGGGGGGCAACTAATTATCTATAACGTTTAAATGACCATTTTCGACATTATTTTGCTGGGGTAACGCACACAAGCCGGTCACTTATTTGACGATAGGCTCCGTCCAACACAATAACATCTGGCACTGGATGGCCGGGATAGCGTGCTATGTATTCATCCACGAGCCCGTGCGGATACGCATTGGCACTATCGGTAAGAAATCATATTCTTCGTTCGTATCAAAGTCCATTCAGCAATAGTTAGTCACGAAAAGAAAACGAAACAGTCCAAAAATACAAGCCAAGTTTTTAACGAGGTACCTACTACCGGGTTGTACGCTTAACACTCCCAGTCTTTCATCTAAGTTTTTTTCTATTTTGGTATTAGTTGTGGGCTTCGGTTTCCGCATTTAGACTCAGAGTGGTCCTTTTCAAGTTCAAGGTCAAGCTTTTTCTATTAATTCTGATAGTATCCTAGACCTTGTTAGATAGCTAAGAACACGTACATCTTTTAAATCTGCAGTTTAACTTTCAAAGATACTTTTTATATTATTCGTCAAAGAAAAAAAATAACCAGCTTTTATTATTAACCATTTTCGTTGGCCCAGTTTGTTAACTACAATTTTAGTAATTAATATTATAAAAAGATTTATCAACTACACAAAAACAGTAAAATAAAGGATATAAGTTCAAAAAAATAGTAATAGGCAAAATTTCGGTAATTTTTATTAAAAATCTAGGTTTGGGATATGGTATTTCATAGTGAAATCTATCAGAAATGATGGCAACCACAACCCCTTAAGGTTGACTTACCCAGTAACCCTTTATAAAGACTATCTGACCCACGCTACTTCGTCTGCATCTATCGAAAGAATAAACTTTCACCGTTTTTGTAACATTTTTCATTGGCTCTCTACTCCTATAGGTCGTAAAAAAAACACTTTGTAGTGGACCGAACCGTAAATCTAAACCATTTTTGAATTCACTTGAACACACAAAAAAAAACATCAAAATCAGTTCAGCCGTTTAGGTGTTCAGTCACATATACATAAAAATAATAAATGGGTGTGCATTTTACTTTGCCATAAGTGCACGACGACGTGTAAATCTGTATTTACCCTTTTTTTAAATAAGAAATAAAATATCATCTATGAAACCCACATTTCCATTTCCCATATCACACAGAATATTGACTTGTCAATTTCTTACATTTCTCAATAAAAACTAATCGTTTTAACATAATATCCACAATGCGTATACTTGGACCACATCCTATGTCGCCGTCGGCTAGTACGGGCCTGCGAGCTACTACTATTGCATGTTTTTTGTGTCATTCATAAACAATCTACAAAGACGCCGAAAGTAGATTGATTAGTGTCCAGGGTAGTATACTAATAGTGCGCGTTGCGTCTGTGTGCATGTAAAATATTAATGTGGATGTTCAATCCCTAATTCTCATGCTTGGTGGACTACAGTTTTAAGGTTTTCAAAGAAGTTTAAACTCTAAAGAGCTAGATAGCTCTTAGACTATACCCAGCTTAAAATTGAAGTATCTAGAAGATACCTAAGGGACCCGACTAAATCTGTGTCAAAAAATATGCGAAATATTGCGAATAATTAACGACTAAATTTGGGAGAAAACAGATCTACGCTAGGTGCCCTAATTTTTGAGATAAAAGTGTAAGCGGCTTGGTAAGATTCTCCCTAGGTCGGCCACCTAGAACGCTTATAATTTTCGAACTAGTTACCGAAAATTTCTGATATTTAAATTTAAGTAAAAACAAATCTTCGTTGTGTTCCAGTTTTTGAGACAAACTTAGCTAAGCTGGGGATTTTATCCCTAGGTGACCCACATGTTTGGCAGTTTGGCGGCTGATTTAGATTAATTAGCGACTAAATTTGGGAAAAACATATCTTCTCTAGGTGCCCTAGTTTTTGAGATATAAGCGTAGCCGAGCAGGGGAGTCTGGAGGCCCCTGGGAGGCCACTTATAAACGCTCATAACTTTTGAACCAGTGACTGACAAATTTTGATATTTGACGACAAATTTCGACTAATTAGATTACAATACAATTACAATTTTTTTGTGCTATTAATTCCTAATTAAAATCCATGATGCCTGGCCAAGCCAGTGTGAGTGACATACATGTCACACACACTCCTTGCCTCTCCATGGCAGAACTATATTGCTAACAGCGCCCCTGGCGTTAAAAGTTGCAAACTAAATAAACAACAATATAATATGTTGAACTGTATAATATACTGCCAATATAAAATAAGAACAAATTATATTGACTGGGGATTGTTTAAAACAAAACAAAATCTTAATTGTACACTATTTATTATTGTTTAAAATGATCCTAATATGCGAGATAAATAAAAAAATAAGTTATGTAACAAATATAATGTACAAGATCAAACTAAACCAAAATGAGCACTAAAATAATTTAATAAAAATTTAATAGAATTTTAAAGGAACCCTCATCTACTCAACCTGTGACTTCACAAATACAAACACAATTCATATTACCTAAAATGATGATGGTTTTAATTAAGAATTGGTATACTAGAAATTATGCAAATATCGCAATGCAGATTGCTATGGTACAATGGATATGTTAAACTTAACATAAAATGTGGTGCACAAAAATGATAACATAATATGACCACTACGATTTGTGGTGTTTCCTTTCATCTATGCAAAATAATTTAAAAGATTAGACTTGACATTACAACTATAATATATAATGTTATAACTATTAACATAGCCTCTCTGAACCCTTTCCAGGCCAATGGAGGTTAATCAAAAACTTTTAAGTTTATTAACTTACAAAATAATGAATCAATACAATAATGTACAAAATATACATTACCTTTAACAATCTTTCAACAGTCTTATAACTTTATATACCTATACAGTATTGCACTTAAAACTCAAGTGACGAGTAATGTGAAGATATTATCAATAGATAAAACTTTTCTGAGATTATTTCTAACTTAGTCTCTGGAACGTCGTAAATAAAAGGATGCCATATCTGCTATGCTGCCATAAAGTAAAATACAGGCAGATGCGATAGGTTGTTGTACAAATGCCGAGGCTCATATTGCTTTTCAACTGGGATGTATTTATTTACAGTCACTACATGATTATGTTCACATTACCCCGTCGGCTAGCAGCCCACTAGCTGAATAAGCTGTTGCACTGTGGAGCGATCTAACAAACACAAGTCAAAATCAAAAGTCTGAGTTGTTACTTCATACCGGCCCGTTTCTGCAATAAGATTCACTACCCTCTCTAAATCTTCATTGTTTTTGATTTTCATAATACGCTGTTGCAAGTCACGCAGTTGCACCATATAGTCAGGAGAAAGATCACCTGGTTCAGCATCTTCGCCAAGACTGCTTGACACACCATTGTCTTGAACTTTGGTTTCTGACGATGATGAAGCACTACTTTCACTACTTTCCATTTCATTGAATGGAGGAGCTGTTTCTGCAGTTTTTGCTAATTTTCTATGCTCTAGGTTTTCTATATTATCTCTTTCTTCTTCAGCTTCTTTTCGTTTACGTCGCTTTTCTTCTCTTTTTGCCGATTTATCTTTATACTTTTTAGATTTTTCCTTATGTGGTGGTGGTGGCTCAGCAATGGGTTCAGGCTCTATTTCTGGATCAGGGTCAATCTCTGGCTCTCCTTCTGAGAGGGTTTCTTGTTTAATAGGCTCTGGGGATGGATTTTCAACCTTAATTTTGATATCTTTGACATCTATAATTGAACCTTCAGAGTCTGAGTGACTACTATTGGCATTTTCATTACTCAAATGCAAAGTTTTGGCTAAACCGCTTTTTGAACTGCATTGAGATGCTGTGTCTACTGAAATAGGTGAAGCAGATTCAGGTATTGGGCGCTCTTTTGGTATAGGTGTTTCTCTACGCTCCAGAACCTCACTTTTTTCAGGTGGTACATCCCGAACTTTGTCATGTTTATTTTTCTTCTCTTTGCTTGATTCTTTGTGTTTATCTTTGGATTCATCTCTTTTTTTATCTTTCTTTTTATGTTTATGTTTTCTGGGATCTGATTTATCTTTGTGTTTATGATTTTCGGGACGATCTTCAGTTTCTATAGGAGGGGTTTTTCTCAGATTTTCCATTGAAAACTTATTCACTGACTTTTCAGGTTTCATGGGTTTTGGGGTTTCTTTTACTGTTGGTGAATCTTTTGGTGGTTCTCTTTCTTTGGGAACATCTCTGATTTTAGGTACTTCCTTAATTATTTCCTTAGATGGTTCTTTGGGGGATTCTTTTAATTTGTGAGTTTCTTTTTTATGTTCCCTTTTTTCTTTTCTGTCCTTGTCTCTAGAGTGACTTTTTTTTTCTTTCTTTCTTTTCTCTTTGATTTCCTTTTCCACTTTTATATCAGGAACTTTTTCCTCCACTTTTGTTTTTTTCGACTCAATAATCTCAGAATTATGTTTGAGTTTGTATTCCTCTTTAATGCTGGTAGCACTACTGGAACGTGGTGGACTAGGTGGTCTTCTAACTGGGCTCATAATGCGTTGCTTTTTATTAACATCTGGTGTAGGAGGTCTTTCATTAGGCCTTTTATTGGCTTTCTCTTTAGATTTTTCTTGTTCTTTATTAACATATTTATTTTTTTCAGATCTTCCTTTATCTTTGTCTTCTTTAATTTTATTTTTATCTGACTTTGCTTCTTTGTGCTCATGTTTAAGTTTCTTATCTGGATTAGACCTCTCTTTTTCTTTTTTGTCTATTTTAACAGAAGGTACAACTTTTTCAACTTTTTTGGGTTCTGGGGACACTTTTGGAGGTTTTTGTATAGGAGGCCCAAACAAATTTTCAAAGCTGCTTGTTCTGTGTGGCACTTCATCCTTATGCTCTTTTGTCTTGTGTTTTTTTATATTATCTGATGATAATTTAGGCTTACTAACAAGTTGTTGCTTTTCTTCTGTAAATGAATCTCTACTTCTACTTTCCTGGTCTGGATTAGTGTAATATGATTCATTATTAACAGGTATTCCTCCACCTTTAAATAGCTTTTTTCGGAATTCTTCATTTGGGTTTTGAAAAATGTAACGGTCTCTCAACAGTCCACTTTGTTGTAAAGTGAAGTCATAGGAAAATTGTATTTTCTTAGGTTCATCTTTATTTTTTAAATATATCTCTATAGGAAACATGAAGCCTGCATAGCCAGATTCTTTGACGGCAAATGGTGGCTCTTTAACAACTGTAATATAAAATAAATCAGAATTAGTAAAAAAACTGGGAGTCATTTATTTAGAGGAAAAAATTATCAGTATGTTAATCCGAACATATATGAAAAATAAAATAAATCGAAATTAGTAAAAAAAAACTAGGAGTTGTTTATTAAGAGGAACAAATTATCAGTATGTTAATCCGAACATATATGAAAATAAAATAAAACAAAATAAGTAAAAGAAAACTGGGAGTTGTTTATTAAGAGGAACAAATTATCAGTATGTTAATCCGAACATATATGAAAAATAAAAATAAACAAAATAAGTAAAAAAAAACTGGGAGTTGTTTATTTAGAGGAACAAATTATCAGTATGTTAATGCGAACATCTATGAAAATAAAAACTATATGGACACTATAACGCGTATAATAATAAAAAAAGCCATTAATTTTTATGGATACTAGACAGTCAATTAATAAAAAATACAATATTTACCCCTTCTTGGCTTTTTGAAAGTGGTGTGTAAGTGAAATACCACTTTTTCAACGAAGTGGCCAATATCAGCACCTTCCGCGCCGCGTACAAACACTTCCCAATCATGAGTAAACCCTTCTGGCGTCTGTTTGGATCTTAAAGACGCCACATGTCCAATTTCGAAACTCACTTTTATCGCATTAGACATTCTAAATCTGAAATCACAACAGTATATAATTAATAATATTATAAGTTCAGTGTACTCAGTTCTGCGTTAAAAAATAACATGCAACAAAAACATACACATCCTAACATATATACTTACAATTACGGGCTACCTTTGCTAGAAAATATAGTATAAACATAACAAGTGCAATTTAAAGTCTAAACAAGTCACTTATTTGATAGATCTTACGAAAAACCAAAATAATCTTTTAGCGCCCTTGTTATTTTGGTCCGCCATATTATTCTTATAATGAATTAAGAATAGAGACTTTATTTACTTTCTATACGCCGTAGACAAGCACACAAATTGTTTTAGTCTCCTAATAAATCGACTAATCAGGGGTAGAATACACAGTTGAACAGAGTACGAGAGTAGAGTTGGAAATTAAATATTTAGGAACTAAAGTAGCTGGCAACACTTAAAATAAATGAGTACATGAGCTGTCAATCCTATTGTTCCTACATGTCATGTTATTTTGTATAATTTAGAGTTTTATGTGTTTTTTCTTTGTTTTGGTGGCGAAAAAATCAAAGCATGCCTAAAAAACATTCGTGATTGTGCCCATGAATTAATGTATAAAGTTTTCATGCGGTGTATGGTAGAATTTCAAACTGGAATAACTACTATCCAACTTTGAAGATGTTTATAATCTTCATATATTCTAAGTCATCATTATATTCGAAGAATATAATTTTTATGTCCACTCATAATAAGAATAGTTAAGGTTTACCTTTTTTTAGGTTATGGTAAGATAAACAAAACCATTGTAGTTATAACGCGTTGAAACAATCTTGAAGAGTTAGCCAAAAGTACAACTGTTATTTTTTAAAATATAAGCACAACTTTCCATTCAGGACCGTCGTTTTTTTCTGAAAAACTACGCGTCTTCGCATGATGAAACTTTGCGTGTCTGGTTATAATAATGTAACCTTTCTGAAAAAAAAAATCAACCCCCCAACTCGACGGACGTAAATGGAAAGTTGAACCAAAAATATTTCTGGTATATTAAAAAAAACAATATTAAACCACAGTTGTGTTAATATAATACAAATGAAAAGCTTTCCTTGATGAATATATTTTGCTTGAGATTTCTTTAGCAAGATCTAATGGTTGATACAAATTATAACCAACTAGTTGTACCTAGTACCTACCTAGTCTGTTGAAATTGAGCTTCAGTATCTAGAGCGCCCTAGGCAAACATCTCAACGACACCCCCCGCATTTCTCTATCGCCCATACCATTTTATTAATATCTCTTAACTAAACCTTTTTTATAACTTTTTATGCGTGGAAACCACCGGGGCTTGCGGTGGGCGGTGTATCTAAATCGAACCTACTAAAATCACACGATGTGTGAACTGCACCTGAAATAGGAGGGATGAGACAAATAACTTCACCTGTCAGCCTGCCAGCCTGACCCTCAGCCCTGCACTTATGTAGGTCGGAGTTCATTCAGCGACAGTTCATGCGCCTGAGCCGCCTGCAGTACATGGTCCGTTCCCAGGCCCGGCGGTCCAGGAGAGTTCTAAGCCTCTTCAGGTCTCAGGCCGCGGATTTCCAGGCGCTCTTGCTCTGTACTATGGCCGCAATCATGATACCGAGCGAGAGTGTCACTCCGATGGCCATCAAGAGGCCACGCCTCTGCTCCACCCACGCCGGCATTCTATTGTCCATGCTTTTGCCACCGCAATGGTGGCACCCAGGCGTTGGTTCCTTGGATTGGATCAGACACGGGTGATCTCCCGCGTCAGCCGGTATCAGAGAGTCTCGTGTTTCCTGTCGAGCCAATCCTACACAACGGGCCTTACCGCCGCTACAATGGCGTGCCTGGCCAAGTCTTTTCCTCAACTCCTCCACGAAGATGCGGCGGAGTTGGGATTTCTAGTCCTCGATTTCTCGAGTCTCAGGATCCCGAACCAGAACCAGATATCTCACCGAAGGCTCTATGTCAGGCTGGATCCTTCAGGTGACCCCATCCGAGGCTCATGAAAGAACAAGGCCTCAGATTTGTGCAAAGACACCTTAAGACTCAGCCGCTGGATCTTTACGATGCTAAGGCGCATCGCACGCCGTCAAGAACATGTCATCCCCGTAGCACGTGAATATCCAAGCAGGCACCACGGAACACCAAATCATAGCCGATGTTCCACAGGAGCTGCCCTAACTCCGACCCCTTGGCAAACCGCTCGAATTTTCACGCCGACCGAGACCGATTCCCACTTGGGTAGATGACAGCTTCGGATCCCTCCTAGCCCCTGCCCTTTAATAGTTTAGGCACCACCTTCGGGAAAAACTCTCATATAGAACACGTCCGCAGCACGAGAACGTCACCTCCTCGCGGTAGACTTTCGTGGCGATTGGAGGGAAAAACCCGCCCACCTGAGACATAACTCAGGGTGGCATGAGACGCTTGAAGGCATGCCAGCCTTGGAGCGTGTAAGGGCTGGTCGCCAGAAATCCTCTCCTCTACGTTGACAAGTGTGTGCTAAGCCAAGTTCTCGCTGCAGTCGCAGTGGTGACCGTCGCAACTCAATTCACTTCTAGCGATCGACTCCCAGGTGGAGCCTCAAGTCATCGTGGCTCGGCGAGCAGCCTTACGCTAGTCATTTCTCGTGGGAGAGTTCTGCCCCCACCCTCTTAAGGTACTAGAGGCGCGTCTTATTCTCGGCTGACGCACTTCCGCCCACACCGGTGCATCATATAGTGCCATTGACTGGACAACCCTGATGGTCTATTACTACAACTCATAGAGTAATCTCAACTACAGCTGCAGTTGTAGCAAGTGCACTTTTGTGTACACGCACTAGCCTCAATCTTCCTAGGTATCAGAGAAGGAAAGCAAAAAAGTTGTGGCGATTACATAATATAAACATTAGATGTCAACCTTAAACATCTCTATAGAATTAAAGATTTTTTAATAATATATCTGACACATCTTACACACAGCCGTCTGATCTCAAACTAGGCAGAGTCTGTACTATGGTAACCAGACTGCTAATAAACATACTTTTATATTTCTAAATACATAAATATTATAGATAAATTACACACAAACACTGAACAAATGACCGTGCTCATCATACAATATTTGTCCATGGACAGAATTGAAACCACGACCTCCGACTTAACAGTCAGGTCACTTACCAGTAGACCAACAGGCCCTTATTATTATTTATATTGTGTAAGTATGTGCATACTTCCTGAATCAGTTCTTATTATGTTAGGCATATATATTTTTTCTTTGTTAATAAAATCTGCGCGCCCTTTCGTAACCTCCCCTTGGCACGTGCCTACTTTGCCTTAGGGATAATCCGCCACTGATCACGACGTTAATATTAATATTTTGTTTGTTCTAGGTGTATCTGTGAATACAGCTAATCGTTGAGCAAGGTGTCAAAAATAATGGAAAATTCTCGACACCAGGTATTCAAAGGCAGAGTTATCCTTCGAAGGTGTTAGATGACTTTGACACATGCGCAATCCGACAAAAAATATATTTTCGGTCACAAAGTGGTACGGCTGCCACATTAATACTGTGATCTTAATCCAATCCAATGAATTCGGGCACTCGCAAAACGAAAGGTTGCGCCTCGAAATGTGTCAGAGCCGCTGCAAGTAGATGACATAAACGTAGGGCGAGTACGCCACACTCTGCGCTTGAAGACGTTGAATATTTAAATGTTAATTCATAAAGTAATGTAAATTTTTATTTAGTAATTAAATTTTTTCATTCGAGTCTAGTATTTTTCTTTTTGCACAATGCCATGAGGTGGCAACAAACTTTTGAGAGATCGATAAGTAATATAAATCAAAATAAGGTATTAAATAAAATCAAGTCGATCCTTTAGAACATACTCCCAATAGAAATGAGGATGTCCACCAACTGATCCACTTTTAAGCTTAAAGTACGGAAGCTCTATAGAGACTTGTTGATGGAGTCATTAGAATAACACCTTAAGAGTATCTTTATTATCTTCGTATTATAAATATATATATTATATTTTGATATTTATATGTATAAACTATATGTACCTACCTAGTACTTATACACACGCCGGCAGAATTAGTGGAACACAAAAAAGGAAGAAATAATGTATTTTTTCGTAACACTGGTCGGTTACATATTTTTTTTTAAAGGACAATGGCAGGAATGTATGGGACTATTGTACTGCTTTGCGTATCTCATGGTAGGTATTATTGTTGTATTTATTAGGTTCATAATATCATCTACTATTACAGTTTTAATTACCAGATTAATAGAACTTTCAATATAGACTATACTGAAGGTAAACTTGAAATTGAACTATGTTCCACACCTTATCATCTTAGTCCCATACTATTAAAATCTTACATAGCATAAGTATACAATACTGTTATCTTCGTAAACCTTTCTACTATCAACGTTTCTAAAGAGCAAGGATGTTATTCTTCCTACTAACCTAATATTACTACAAAAATACGTAAGAAGTTTGTGCTTAGCGTTGCTCCGAACAAAGCCGCTCGTGGTTTTCTCTAACATCAATCGATCTGTTACGATTTTATTAAAAAAATGGTAAAAAACCAATGTTATATTCTTAGAATCATCATCATCAACAGACTTTAGTAGTTCACTGGCTGGACATAGGCCTCTCTTTAGAAAGGAGGTTTTTTGCCTACTATACCACATTGGCCAAATGGGTTGGTATATCCTATCACCTATCACCGCCTCATGCCGCCCTGAGTGTGGCCGCGGGTGCACGGGGTGGGTTTCCCCTCCACCCGCATTAGTTTGGCCAGCCGCGAGGGGGCGGCGTCCGCGTGTGCCGGACGTCGCCTAAAGAGAGGAACAATTTTGAGGCGGGGCCCGCAACTGGAGCGGGCCGGCGCTAGGAGGGGTCCGGATGTCTTAATAACAGCTGTTCCCGGATCCCTCCTATTACAGGCGCAGAGTGGCACACCGTGTGGTTTTAGTCGGTCCGAGTCCGACACACCACCCCGCCGCAAACCCCGGTGGGGTGACGGTCCGAGGGGATTTCCACACGTTAAAAAAAAAATAAAAAAGGGTTTGTTTCAAGTTTTCTTTTTGCAATCCTTATGTTATTCTTATCATATAAGGCAAATAAAACAATCTTTTTAGTTTCGGTACTCATTTACTTAAGATAAATATATTATCTACACTGCACACTACCTACCCCAAAATAACGTCATCTAAGAAGGGAGCTGGTTGGGTCATACCTCAATGCTCATATCATGTGAGTAGCATCGTACGGTTCTAAACCAACTATACAATTACAGCAATAACTTAATATTGCATCCCAACTATTCATATGTCTTTTAGTCACTATAAAAACAAAATATGTTCTTGCTGATGAATATCAAGACTTTATTTTGGCACGAAGCAACATAGGATCAATTCCCTCTAATCCATTTATTCGGTCCCTAGATACCTCTAATAAATAATAAATATATACAATGAAAACGGAAATGGTGTATGTACATTTCCGTTTTCATGGTATATATTTACATATATTTATATATATTTACATGCGAACAATAATAAAGTGTTCCATAGATAGCCATTCCAGACATAGTAGTACCGTCAATAGAAATAAATAATGAACCACGCCTGTTTAAATTATTTAGTGCAACTAGATCTGAAATGGTTATAATCTAGGAATAATCTTTCAAATATTATCGTAACAAACTGCTCGGCATTAAGGTTGTCTCTAAATGGTGTGGCAATTGCATTTAGCAGAGCAGCTGCTAGTTTAAAATCTTTTATTAAATTAGGACAGGCACGGTTAAAATATTCATGCCGAAATGTTTTAAAAATCTTTTAAAACTGCCGTTCACAGTTTTCATTACCCATCTGTTAATTGTCACACAACGCGATCTATCAGCTTTAAGGGTAGTGAGCTGTGATTGACCGTCTTCCTATGTTTCCGGCATATCCGTTAGATCATTAGTACTAAGTGTTGAAAATTAATATTTATATTCAAACATTTAAGGGCAGCTGCCGACTTACAAACACTGACAATGATTTACTTTGCTCTCACTCGCTCTATGCTGACCTACTGTCTTACTGTATGGGGTGGCTTAGTAAAATCCCTAAAATTGCCTTTGAGACGGTCACAGCGGGCTGTGCGGGGTGACATGTAAGCCTAATCGCTTCCCAACTAGAGAGCTGTATGCTCTATGTTAGGACCCTACAGTGAGACACTCATTCTTGCTGAGCACAAGCACCATATTGCACAAGCATGCAGAATTGCCATTTGACGCGGTATCTATTTTCCAGGTACGGAGGTCTCCATGGTCGGAGTTTGCCATATATAAACGTCAATATAATTTCATTAGCCCTGTTATATACAACGTGTAAATCTGAAAGTCTATCCAGTTACACTTAACACTTGCAACATAGTTACCAATGAATAGCTGCACACATTGAACTATGAAGGGCTTAAACTTATGGCTAAACCACATAATTGCAAATAGGTCTTACAAATTTCCCCCAAAGTTCTCAACCCTCAACACACACAACACACACTAACAATTCTGAGTTTAGAAGTGAGTCTGAGAGACTTGTTTTATTAATTTTATATTGTTGTCGATGGCCCTAGGCCGGAGGTGGCGTTTATGATTGCGACACAGTAAGACGCCGCTTTCATAGTGAACAACAGGAGGTTTTCATATCGCTACAACTAATTGACCGATTTGACTTATTTATGACTTATTTGTTGCAAGTAACGTAACACCGTATTTAGTAATTATTGTTTTTACCAGAATTTCAAAGCGGATTAGGATATCAGCAACTTTATTTTTATTTTGAATTAAAAAACAATAAAATCAAGCTACTCAGTGAAGAAATAGATCAACACATCATCGATGTGGAATAATCACGTCCCTATTGAGTGATTGTTTTTTTGCAACAAATGTCAATTTTAGTAGCCGTGACCCTCTTTAGGGGCGTTTTATAACGGTACAAAAGCAATTGTCATTTTTTACCGAAAATTTAGTCCAACGTACGGAATAAGCCAGATAATAAGCCAGAGGTCCTTAAGCGTCAATTTCATTTTATTAGCCCTGAGGTCAGTCACTAAATTCTAATATATTTCATATATATATATATATTTTTTTTTTCTAATATATTACAGATAACTACTAATACATGGCTAATAATAACGTTTTGAAGTGTTTCTTTATTGTACGAGATAAACTTCCAAACATTTGAAGACTTGAACTTTGTGTTTGCCTAACACCGTCATAAATAGTAGCAACACTAAAACATGTTCAGGAAATATTGTCTTCCGATAAAGTGACTGTTTCCTTGGAACAACAAGAAATGAAAAAATAAGTGCAATAATAATATTATAATTGTTTTAGGATTTTATATTATGCATAAAATTAAATTGATTATAATTTTATTTTTGACCATTTGACAAAGTACCTAATTTAAAGCGCTAGATGTAAGTTTTGCACTAAACCTGTGTTAGTTTCTAGTTGATATAAAACTCAAAACATGCTATTCGATTGGTTTTGCACTATTTTATTTTAAAGGTTACTCTTATCCGCAAAATAGAATTAGTCGATTATCTAATGTCCATGCCTGTCATTGTCAAGTTGAATTTGTCAGAAATTGTATGAAATTTCTATTTTATTTTGATTACGCATGTTATACAAACAGTAAATTGTCTTTTAATCACTTTGCAGTAGTGTCCAGACTGTCCAGAGCATAACCATGCCAGGAATTATATCGACAATCTTTCAACCTCTCAGGTAAACAAATATTCCTTAATACAGATCAAACATGCGTTTTAACCTTTTTACTTCATAGAGACAGAATAATAAGTCTTTATTTATTATATTAATATTTCAGGTTTGTTAGACAAAGTCTGCAAGTTGCTTCTACCTTTACCCCTGGTTTAGTAAAACCAGATTGCCATTTGCTGTCATCAGTTCGAACTAAAGTACGTTGCTATTTTCCACGGCCAAACGAAGTAAGGCGAGTCCGCAGGCACGGTTGGGAAACAAGAATTTCTACTCCTAATGGCCGTAAAGTTGTAATGAGACGATTGCTAAAAGGAAGATTTGTTTTAAGTCATTAATAAGTACACCAGTAACAACTTAGAAATGTTATATAATTAGGATTTAAATAAAAATTATTTTAAAAACAATTTCTTTATTTATGAGCCTGCTCTCTAATAGTTTGGTTTATTCACTGAAGTAACATTTCACTTATGAACTAGGTTTTCTTAAAAAAAATAACAAAATCTCATATTTAGTGTCCCAATATGTTTCAGTATGCATGATCATGATCTTTAGTTAATACTCATAAGGTTGAGAAATTCCACATAAACATGTAATATACAATACCTACACATATTTTGCAAAAACTTTGTAATCTGCGAAACAATAGAATAAAAGCAATTTGTTCCAGGTAATTTAATAACTGTTCAAAATCCTGAACTGATCAACACATTTATAAATTACACTTACATAGTAAAATTTTATAAATATTAACCATCTAATTAAATATATATTTTTGTTGTGAGTCATCCGAGTTTGTTGGTGACTTGGCCGGTTTTAAGAGATTAGAGATTTCATTAACAACCAAAGTGGTTAGTTTTATAATTGCCAAATGTGCTGCTAACTGCAATACTAATGCACCAAAACCTTTGTATAGACCTGCCACACCCTCCTTGGCTACTGTACTGTTGTAGCAATCCATAAATCCCTCATAACCAGTCAAAATAGGTATGACAGATGTGCCAGTATCTAGGTTGTCTACTATTGTTCTAGTTCCCTGAAAAGAGATTTTAGAGATGAGTATTATTTGACACTAATAGTGGCCTTGCCAGTGATATGTGCAGTGTATGTTATCATCATCAGCCTATCACAGTTCACCGCTGTCGCAAGATGGCTGGTAGGAGCTGGACGTGAGAAGCTGAGGATCAAACCAAGTGATACACAATTGGAGAGCCAATGATACCAAATTTTGCATCATTTTATATTAATACAAAGTAACATAGAGAAAAAATTATGTTTTATATTTACTAAAACATACTGGCCGACCCAAGGGATATGTTTGGTTTAACTTGATAAATTAAAAAAAGATGCAAATTATAAAGTATTTTTATATTCACCTGTATATGAAGCCTATGAATGATAGTTTCAACTGGAAAAAATAAGATCTCCATAGAAATAAACGAGAATATATTTGCTTTCAAGCTGATATCTTCTAGCAGGGGGTTTGGGGAATTCTTGCTGTAGTTTATGTTGTATGAGTCACTGAGTTCATGTTTATGCCTTTGTTGGAAACGAAGAATTTTTTCTGTTATGCTCTTCAAAGTTATGCTAAAAAGAGATAGAATATTGGATTACATGGCACCACTTTAAAGTAATGCTATTTTACAAATGATTAGATACTTACTGTGTAAGATATTTGGTAATGCCAAGAGCAACAGTTGGCAACACAATGGCCCATATTGGCAACATTCTGCCTCTGCTTGGAGTACCCCACTCCAATATACGCATAAATCCTTCTCTAAACACATCCAATAAGGCTGGTTTGTCACTTGCAATATCACTTTGTACTGTTTCTACTAAACTAGCTGAGTAGAATGGTGTGATTATTGCTAAACTTACACTGAAAAAATCATATAAATCAACCGGTGACAAAACTAGTTTAATATATTTACTGATATGAGACATGCATGCAACATTCTTACTGTACATTAAAGTGTTACTTCTTACCATTTCACTGTTATATGTTGAAGAAACTGCAAAACAGAACTACATTTGCCAATTTCCCTGGAAAAGACGATTACAAGTTTATGATTATAATGTTTTTTGATCATATTTATTTTTTTTTTGAGCATAGGTATGCCATGTGCTATGATTTGCTAATTCTGGTATACTAATTGTCATAAAAATATACCAATAAGAAGCTGTGTATAAATTCCAAGCTTATATGTACAATACAATATACAATACTTAGTAACAATACAAAGGTTTTAATTTTTTATTAACAATGAAAAACTTTATTCAAATTTAGTAATAGAAGAATCAATTACATAATTTTGTGTTGTTTTCAACTTACTTGGGCCACCCTGTGCCTTTAGACACAACATCCTCAACAGCCAGGTTGAGTCCTTTAACTATGCAAGTTGAGCCAATGCCTTTCCATAAAGTTGTGACATCCTGTCGTCTGTGCAGTCTAGCCACTACAGGCAACAAAGTGTAGGGTACTATGTGATAGTTTTTTAAACTATTGTGGACCTACAAAATAATCAAAACCTTATAAAACTTATGTGTATAACATGTGATTACGGCAGGAGTAAATCAGAAGTGTATTAACTGTGTGTAAAACATACCTGACACTGTCTTCTCAACACAATAAATGGATGACTTAATAAATTTTCAGTTATCAAACTTGCTACACTAATAGCTGTTGTCACATAAGCATTGCTATCTGAAATTATACCCAAAAATCATTAAAGATTTGTGATAGCCTTTCTCAATTTGTCAAACCATAAGAACATTAAAGAATAAGTTTGCATACCTTCTTCTGGAACGTCATCCATAACCAAAGGTGGTCCTTGAAACTCTTCGGTAACAGGAGTATGATAGCCATAAATTTGCTGATATCGAGTATCATACAAGTCGTTGGTTTCCCTATTAGGATCCAGACCAAAGGGCCTATTGTATCCAGAATATTCACCAAACCCAGCCATTCTCACTTGATCAATGCATTATTTTTCTGCTAAAACGTTAATTGCATTTTAGCATAAAGGAAAGAGTATAAAAAACTAAATAACTAACCCAAAAATATCGAATGAAAGTATGTTAGTTTTTTTTTTGTTCTTATTTAAGAAATCAATGAAATTTCATGAAAGTTATATTTGTGCCAATACAAAATCTGAGAATAAGTGAATTGTCAATTACTACCAATTAAATCGCATCTTCATTTTTTAAAACTTACATTATAGAACAGGCATATTCATGGACAAAATTATTAAACGTCAAAGTCCATGGTGCTACCTGAAATTTACTTACTAGTTTGTCTATTTCCAAAAGCAAGACAAACTGTGAATTTAACTAAGCGGGAACAAACACAATTAAATAAACAGTAATATTCTTTACTGACCTGATTTATTGGCTTGACGAGGATAGTTCTTAGAATTTTGTTTAAAAAAATAAGATTTATTTTCAGATAAAGAGTGTAATAATAAATAAATGATATCGCTCACCCAGGCCTGTGCTATGCTAACCCTAACCAGTGTGCTAATAAACATACTTTTTTGTTTACTACTTCTTCCTAAAAGGCCGGCAATGCGCTTTTGACTCTTGAGTTGCAGGCGTTCATGGACGGCGGTAGTCACTTGCCATCAGAAGGCCAATTCTTGTAGTGAAAGTTCGTTCACAATTCAATTACGATCAACTTTCGAGCTTAAAATTGTCAGAAAAAGTATAGGTATCGTAGTAAAATAGTACAAAACTACTAAGACTAGCAGGTTACCGATTAATTTTCGGTTACAATACGATTTAAACGCATTACAGTCGTGTGGTGACGGATTAAGAATACAATTGCCAATTCATCCCGTAGGTGTCGTAAGAGCCGACTAAGGGAGCAAACTAAGCAGGACAACAGCACTGCAAAGAGAAGGAAAACTTGAAACAAACCCTATACCAACCCGTCTGGCCAGCGTATAGTAGGCCAAAACCTCCTTTCTAAGGAGAGGCCTATGTCCAGCAGTGGACTAGTATAGGCTGTTGATGATGACAGTCAACGTTGGATGTTTTGCCCGGGTTGCTCATTTGCTGTATCATAATTTTTGCCTATTAAAGAGGACGTGCCGAGTAGAGCTATTTCCAGATCACAATATATATATCACCTATTTATATTAATAATCACCTATTTGTATTATTTTTCTCCAGATGATTTTTGGAGCTGACAATAAGGGATAATATAAATCATCAACATCTAAATCTATTATAACTTTTAAGTTTGTAATGTTATCGAGAAAAGTTTTACGGACCTTTATTTCAGACCATGGTGTTCATTTTGTTATTAAGAATATTCTTTGAGACTAGACTTTTAGTACATATAGGAAACAAACCACAAAATAAAAAAAAATAGACATTCATAAAGACACATATGAGACACACAACAATCATTGTTGCGCCATTCCGTACGCAATTGCGCAGCAACGATTAATGTAACTACAGACCAGCCGACTAGAGATCATGTTCAGGATACTGTTGACGCTGCTGCGCACCCTGTGCACCAGAAATGTGCATCTTTTAAGCATCGTAGGATAAAAGCAATCTACGCGATGTTCAGCAAACATCCCAGATGCACTACAGAATCGCTGCAGCCCCATCAGCACCCTAAAGGCTTTATTTTATTGTACAGTATAGTCAGCCCACCGGTTGCACGTGTAAAATGAAGTGCAATACGATCTAAAAAGTTTAAGTTTGACTGCTGTCGAGCAACGTGCAAACCAGCGAGCTATCATGTTCGCCCTCACTGACAGTTCGTTCCCTTCCCTCTCTATGTCATCATTGTCCTTGAGGTCAGAGGTAAGTACTTAAATTCGTGTATCCAACGCAATGCTGTACCACTGAGCGCTAAATTAGAATAAGGAAACTCCTTACCTGTACTATGAGACAAAAGTAATTCATCTCATCTCAGTAACTCATCTCTCCATGCTATTTGCGATAGAGCATGCAGAGTGAATCCTCATCTCTACGTAACTATCTCTCCGATCAGAGATGTTTGGGCTATCGACGATTCGAGTCGCTCTTTGTTGGATGCGGTCCAGACGGAGAAGCTGGTACTGAGGTGCCCCTGCATAGAGATGAGAACAGTATTACAAATGTTTCTGGACTTGCGCCTTATAGAGCTGAAGGCAGTGGACCGGAGTGAAATACTGTTTCGATCTGTTAAGCACACCGAGCTTCTTAGAGGCCGATTTGACCTTACCCTTTAAGTGACCCCGAAACTGGACTTCCGGTACTGGCTGAGGCAGTTAGGGAGATGCTTTCAAACCGAGGTGATACTACAAATGGTGTCTTCTTTGAGGTGAACGCACAAACCTGTGACATTTTTGGGTAGAAGTAGACTAAATTTAGTCGGCCCCAATCTGAAACCTCTGCCAAGGGAGTTTCGGTTTCAGACACAAGTTTGTTTCGAATCTCGATGACGTTTTCGAGAGTAGAACCATGATCTATTAAAAAATCAATAATTGTCACATTTGATGTGATAGCGTGCTCGACCAAGCCAAAACAAGTTTTTATTAGTAGTTTTTAGGGTGATAATAGTTTAAAACCCGCCATTTGGGTTTAAACCAGTTTTAACCCAATGGCTTTAAACCCTCTGCTCATCTACAATTACAACCATTATGCTGAAAGTTAGTATTTTTACTTTGTCAGTAAAATAAATTATTATTTTTACTTTTGACTTATTATTTTTAATACTATTTTCAAAGAAAAATGAGTTAAACTAAAAGGTCCAATTAACCAAGGCATAAAATGCCGATAAAAAAAAAAAACAGACCTTGACATTTCTTGTTTGACATTTGATTTGACAGATGTACGCAAAGTAGAGCAAAATAGCCAAGACGCATGATCAAAAAGATTTTATACGGCTACGAGTGAATATCGATTATAAAATACGACAAAAGTTCTGAAACAACAATGAACCTTACGATTTTAAATGCCATTAAATTGAATTGAAGCGTTCATTATGTTAGCAAAATTTGTATTGTGTTTATCGACGTTAAATCTTTACAGTAATTATTTTGTTAAACAATAATTTGGTGAATAAAAGTAGATATGTGTGTGATACTAGTGGCTTGGATGTTCTGTGTGGTGTTACTTGCAGATGTAGGAGCTCAGGAGCAGTGTACAGACTTGCGTGGTCGCTTGATTTCCCATGGCCTTCATTACGTGCCTGGTCCGGATACTTGCACGCTCTGCGTTTGTGACAATGGGCTACCTAAAGTATGCAAAGCGGTCTTATGCTCACCACCTCAGGTAAATACGATAATATAGAAAAAAACAACCAAGTCTTATTTTTTGTTTAGATAGTAGTTCAATATTAAAAATAAAATACTTGGTAGTTTATTTTCTTCCTATTTGTTTAATAACAGAAAAAAGATAAGAATACATATTTTAGAAAATAAAGTTGAAAATATTATAGTTAGCATTTTTTTTGTTAGTGAGTCACAAAATAAAGTTGTGTAAAGAAAAACAGAAAATTGAAACAATTTTTTCCCTTAAAAACTTTTGAGATAGATTTTGATACATTAGTCAGTCCCTCTTCAGTTTCATAAAATTCAAATCATATTTTAGTATACTACTAGGGTCACCTCATTTCTTAATTAATTTATTAATTAATTAATGAACACTAGATAGTTTTGTGGCAGGATATTTGAAACTATGAATAAATTTACCATCATAGAGTACTGTCATTTACTCCACACAATATATCATCAATTTAAAATATTAAACTAGTCTTAAATTTAATTATAATTAATTATATTAAGAGATCTTAGTTGGTTTTAAATTATGTTGTGGCTTTTAACTGTCAATTTATTAGTAATTAAAGTTATTGTGTATTTATGCTTCAACTCTGACCCTCCAAATATAACCACAACTGATGATGAATATCAATTAGAGTCTTGGCCAATATCCTTGGGACCTTAGACAGGATGTGATGAGATCCTGTCTGTCCTGTCCTGTCGATCCTGTCCAAGGCGCACGATGGATGTGAGCCTTGGTTGTTTTCAGTAAAAAAGATTATCTAAACCTCCCAATTTATACAGAATGTGAAGAACCTGGGTTAATTTAAGTAAAAAAGACCTTGAAATTCCAGTAAAAGATTATCTAAACCTTCCACCTCCTACAAGATGTCACATAAAAGATGTGGTCATGTATGATTTAGGGTAGAATGGTAGTGTAGAATCAGTGAATAATTAAAAGATCTAGCTAGTTTAGAAAAGTTTGTGATTTTTTAAAAAGAATATAAAATATATTGAAACTGAAATATTGGAATTTGTTAACTGAAATAATTTATACTTTGCAAGACCTCTATATTATTTGAAAACATAAGTGAATGAAGGATATATGAAGGTGATATGTCGATACAAATTACTTCAGACCTTAAAATAGTCTTAAAGAAAAAAGTCTCAAGAGTATTTTAAGGTCTAAAGTAATTTGTATAGACATATCACCTACAACCAGTTACGTCTTCATTTATTACATAATGATGTAAAAGAAACTATAGATATAATACCAAGGATGTTCATAAAGTGTCTAATTTTTTTCGCAACATGTAAAAAAATAAAATCAAATAAATAAATTCATTCTTTTATTACCAAAAAGAAAAGTACAAAATATGTGATACATTGCCGGTGGCCCCACACTAGGCAAGCCTGTCCTGTTGCGATTACACATTTCGCTATACATTATTGTTCGGTAGACAAAAAAAAAAAAACATACACATCCAAACCAATAAATAAATCCATTTCTATTCCAAACAAAATCTGTTACTGTTTAACTAAGGTTATTGTTTTATATGTACATTCATCAAGTTTACATATAATAGAAATAAATATTAAATGTAGTATTTAGTGTTTGCTATTGTTTATATTCTATAAAAGTAAATAGACCATGAGTAGTTATTTACTTATTGTGAATTCCTACCAAGTCTCCTACCAGATAGAACTAACATCATAGAATGAGAGAACACTGTATATCCCTATTTCTGATAAAATCAATTAGATAAGACTTTGTGTCAAGTCTTTCAACTTGATTATATAAATACAAATAACCCCATTTACATAGAGTTTATCAGCACATTTGCTTAGAATGTTTCTAACAAATAACGTAAGAAATTCTGCTGTTTCACATAAAGAATATTTAAAAAAAAAAAAGTATTATTTATTTCTCACCACAACAACAGAACAATTACAATAACTAAAACAATAACAAGAATTGGAATACTGAGCCTACCTTAGGTACCAGTCTCGAACAGTATTGACTGTGGGAGACTGGTACCCAAGGTAGGCTTAGAATGGTGTCATCAGCAAGAGTTATAATTTTGCCATTATGTAAAGTTTGTCTACCCAGGTCGTTAATATTGGTAAGGAAGAGCGTAGGGCGAAGGATGCTGCCCTGGGGCGCTCCATACGTCACTATTCGGTCTTCGCTTATAAAGTCACCTTAACGCTCTGGGTATGCTCATTAAAGTAGTCCTCAAATGGGGGACCGCGGGCCGCCCGACAGTAGAGACAACTAGTGGCAGAATAATTGCTACGGTAGGGGATAGAATGGCGGCCTAATCGCATTAAAAATGTGATCTGCTGCTAATAGGCAGGGAGAAGCTATCTTTTTCCATCCCGTCACCAAAAAAAGGAGTCCTTAAATAGCCCAAGTTGTTGCCCCTGATGCCTATATTTTCCATTTTTTGAATTAGGATGGGAACAGCAACTGTGTCGAATGCTTTTGCTAAATCTACAAAGATACCTATGACCTTTTTCTACTATCTAGGTTCTCGACTACACAACTTGTTAGATCATGTACGGCGGCAGAAGTCGATCTACCCGCTCGACCCATATTGTGTCGGGGAAAGTATTTTTTGGTTTTCTAGATAGTTGACCAATCTTGTATTCATGATACGTTCCTGTAGTCGACAGAGCGGGAAGAACCTCTATGGACCTATAGTTACCTACACTCTGGTAGATTCGGTGTATAATCGATTTCTTGACGTTTTTAGTGAACACTTTTGCACTGTAAGTCAAGAGACCTTAAAATCGAATCGGATGCTCGTTTTTTAATGAAACGTTTGGGGCTCATTTAAACAAATATCAGAGCAAAACTCCTGTTTGAAAATTTCAGCTAGTTTTCTAGAAATAATAATTTGCAATTAATTAATTAATTTATTTCAAAAAGGGATTTATTTATTTATATAGCAACTTACAAACTCTAACTACTCTTAAAAACTCTGCACTATTTCATACACCCCTTAGAAATACACGTAATAAGAGTTTAATATGCTTCGTAAATGCTTGTATTTACGAAACAAGTATCAGTTTTTTTTTGTTATTTAAGTTTTTATTTTTTTACATTTGTTTTTATATTTGAAGAAAGATAAATTGAAAATCTTGATGCAGATTTTCAATTTATCTTTTTCCACGTCACGTCTGTCACCTTGAAAGACAAGTCAAGTTACTAGAAATTCCATTCAGACCCACGGCGCAGCCGCTACGAAGGGACATAATTAGAGTTTCCACCTTTTCCAAGTCGTGTAGGGATGATTGATAAAAATCAAGTTCTAATAACTTTTTTTCTTGTTCTTGTCCTTTGAATAAAAAAAACTTGAAACAAAAGTAAGAAAAATAATAAAGAGTAAACAGCATCAAGCTTACTGCCCTTTGTCCCTTAGTTTTATATTATCTAGCTGTATTATTTAACCTCTTTTCTAAGGAGAGGGTTATGTCCAGCAGTTAGCTATTAAAGGCTGTTGATGTGTTGTGATGTATTTTTTGTACCTACTATAAGTATTCGGGTCATGGTTTATTGATTGTCCAGCCTTGTTCTATCATCATTCCCTAAAAATACTAACCTTTCTACTCCTATTTGTCCTCTACGCTTCTGTAATAAGTTGACCCATGGACTTTACTTTAATTATTTGAATCTAAGTCTATCCAGTCTGTCTTTTACCAAACATCGATTAAAAGGAAATACACCTTAGTTAGTCAGAATTACATAGCTAACCACCTCCATTTTTTATTTTAACAATCAACTTTTGTGTTTGTATCACAGGACTGCCGATCATTCCGTGTGGGTAACACATGCTGTGAATTCATTTGCCTGGATGACGTCGTCAAACCGGTCGAGGGTGGAGAAGCCAATGTACGTATGGCAGCTGGCGGCGCGTTAGTAGTCGTACTCTTGACTATTGCTCTTGTAGTCTACAGAGTAAGGAAACAAAAGAGACGAAGACCTCCCCACGCTGATGATCAGAGAAGTTTGACGAGTATCGGGTGAGTGTTCGCTTGTTTAAAATCTATGAGATTTAAGATGATACGTAGAAATTACCTAGTTTAAAATTTTGATGCATATTTTTTTCTAATTACACCTAAATGCACATTTATGATTGTTGAGGTTTTATCAAATCAGCAGAGTTTCAGCAATTTAGGAATTAAATTTGAGATTATAACGTTTCCGTATGTCAAAAGGAAAAGAGAATCCTCATAGCCTGATCATTTCGTTCTCCGACTGTCACTGTTCATAGAAACGCGTTTAGATATCAAGTTGAAATAAACATAATTACTTCGATAACTTTGTTGTTCAAGTCTACTTCTTAATCTGAAAAAAAATATGACCCTAAGATAATTAGGTTTTCCTTGGTTCTCTACAAAAAAAAAAAACTAGCTTAAACTTGCGACGGATAGCAGTGTTGTAGATTTCGGAAATAATTTTTTCATGTCTCACTACAAAGACAAAAATGGGCAAAAATACGAAAACAAAGTATACATATAAGTTTGTACAGAACCTGGTCCAGAACCAGTTACCACATTGACAGCAGTGCGACATTAAGACAGGAAAGGGTTGATAATGATTTCTCTTTTCTTCTTTATCTAACGCTTTTAAAAAAAATTGACTATCAATCATATGGCGAACCACAGCTACACTCTAACTACAAACAAAACTAGTCCTTATTATTTTTATGACATAAGACTAATGCAGTAGTGTGTTAGATACAACTTAAATATTATTTTCGACTAGACATTTATCCTTTGATCTACATTCTGTTTCCGCTATCAAAATAGTCGTGACTAAATATTGAACATTTATGTAGCCTCCTATCAGATATCAATAAAGCTAATATTAATTTTACAGTTTAAAGCCATACAATCTAAACATGTATTATCAGAAAGTAAATGTTAGAGTTAAAATCGTACTCTACTATCGGTTAGGTTGTTATCCGAACCAATAAAAATCGCATAAATAAAACGTGTTTAACATTTCAATACTTACTGCTTGAGGCGGATGTCGCAAATTGCTCTATAGTTTAGTGTACTGCACAGTGTCCTTGTAGAATATTAACGGTTGTCGGTTACTTAATAATAATTTAATAAATTCCATTTTTAAACACTTCTTGAATTTGTGACCATTGCCGTGGGAAAGTCATACTTCTGCATAAATGGGCCGTCTCGTTCGGAGTGATACCACAGCCTCATAGAAGACGGTTGTTAAGCAATTCTTTAGGTGGCTTTTCACCGAGCGAGTGAAGTTTCCCTTATTCATCCCGTGGGTGTCGTAAGAGCCGACTAAGGGAGCAGGAGCAAACTACGCAGGACAACAGAACTGCAGAGAGAAGCCAAATTTGACACAAACCCTTTACCAACCCGCCTGGCTAGCGAGGTGTAGTAGGCCAAAACCTTCCGAGGAGAGGCCTATGTCCAGAAGTAGGCTATTTAAGGCTGTTAATGATGATGTGATGATGAGTAAAGTTACCGGAGCCCAAGCCCACTACTTTTGATTTGGGAGCGAGGGAAGGGGGCTTGTAAAAGCGGCAACGCACTTGTCTCTTAATAGTAGGCGGCAGTAGTCACTTACAATCAAGGGTCACCTGAAGCCTTAGTTAGAGTTCATTTTACAGATGCTCTATCGTCACGGTGACCGCGTTCGACGTTGCGATTGGCCCTCACAGAAATCTTCACCAATCGCAACGCTAAACGCGCTCGCCGTCGAGTGCGAGTCCATGTGAAATAAGCTTGCACTCGGCCCTCTTATTGTAAGTGACTACTGCCGCCTGTTCAATCTGTCTGCTTGTTTGCCTAAAATAAATAATGCATAAAAAATGTGACACTATTAAGGGTTACACTATTACACTTAATATAAAACTACTGTGTTTATACTATGATGATACCATCATTAGAGATATGCTTACTCTGCTTCTAAACTAATAAAAAGTTTTGACAGCTTTCAGTGATGCGTCATTGACGTAATATTTGTTAAGAGGGCTTTCTCTATCTGTTACCGTATATCAAACACAAGATAGGCGTAGTCAGACCATTGTTACTTAATCGTGTGAGTAACCTCCTTTACAACATTCCACAACAGAGTAACAGCTTTCGAAATAACGTACCGAGATATGAACTAGTTGCCTGCTTTGGTGTAATGTCATTTACAAACAAAACCAAGTTACAACTTTGTTTTAACAAAATAATAATAACCTCACACATCTCACACACGGCCGTCTGATCCCAAACTAGGACTGAAAGTTTCAAACTTTCTATCACCAGAAGATTTCGGGGTCTGATACATTAAATGCATTTTAATTAGTGGTTTAGTCTATTTTAAAATTATGAAGATTTTTTTCATAATAATAATAATCTCACAAATCTCACACACGGCCGTCTGATCCCAAACTATGCAGAGCTTGTACTATGGTATCCAGCCTGCTGATAAACATACTTATATATTTCTAAATACACACATATTATATATAAATTACACTCAGACACAGTAAAGTGATTGTATTCATCACACAATTAAATTTTATTCGGGGTGGGAATCGAACCCACGACATCTGGTTTAGCAGTCCCGATCACGCCCCGCTCCGCCAAAAATGCTAAAATATTTGACAAAAATTAAATACTAGTTCGTTCGTTCGTCAGGCTGCTTCGCGGTTGCTTAGTAAAAGAATATAACATGGGCAAAAAAAATAGTTAGAGCGATTTCGGAAGGATGTCAGACAACACTTAATTTTATTTTATACTTGCAGTACACTGTTTGTATATCAATACTCTACCGCTGATATTTATCGTGTCAAAGAGCCTTCGCATTTAGATGACACGCCACAGTTATCCCACGGTCCGTAATTAACTTAGCTTCAAGAAATTACTATTCACTATAACTTTGGCCGTACGTCTCTTGCCAAATGAAAAAGTATTACCCTAGAGGTAGGGGTCTTAATGATTTTTAGTACTGCAATGATTTTAAAGCTTAATACACCCTAGGAGCATGTCACAAGTCGGTTTTCGTATGGATTACTACGATGCCCATGTGACGTCCGTGCGAGACGATATAGAAATGGTAATTATAATTTTTAAATTTAATCATCTTAGAGTACAATTAATTTAGTTAAAAAAGTTTTGACATTGATTCACGAATAGCACACATGTAGCGTATTATAGACACAAAATAAAATTGTTGAATTGTAAAGCTGTTCGTGTTTGAGGTCGTTTTTGAAGTTAAAAAGCAGTTTAAAACTACTAAGGACAGACGCTATATATTTAGTCTGTGCTATTAAATAAAGCTAGTAATATGTGATTTCTTTTTTTGCATGTTACACCGTGGTTTTATTAGACGCCATTAACACATACCTGTTGTAATAACAAGGTTGTTTATCGGCCTCTTATTGTTAAGGACAGTTTAATGCCGGTCACGATTGACAATAGACCGTATATCAATAGTCCATTGTATTGTACTGGCTGATTATTTCGGAACGTAAATATTTAGACATTACTTCATCGACACAAAAACAAATGTTGTCAATTGGAAAGAAGGGGAATAAATTCATGGGAAAATAAAAATAGCCTTGAACATAAATAATTAAGGAAAAGATGAGACGTAAGAGGATTTGATTAATGGAAAATATATTACCATCCACTTTTAAGTTGTAAAAAAAATAATTTAAAAAAATTATAGTTTTAAAAAACTAAAAAACACGCTTTCTATAGAAAACCAAACTAAAAAATAGAAAATAAATCTGAAAAAAAGCGTTGTGTGCCTGTTGTCAATAGTAAAAATAAATAATAGTTTAAAAAAACTAAAATTAAAAACACGCTTTTATAGAAAATCCAACTAAAAAACAGAAAATAAAGTTTAATAAAAAAAAAGCGTGGGGTGCATAGTGTCAATAGTTATAAACATTTATTGTCAGATGAGTAGAAAAATCATCACTTTGATTTCTATAAAAGCGTGTTTTTAATTTTATTTTTTTTAAACTATTATTTATTTTTCATTTTTTAGTTAAATTTTTTGTGTTTTGGTTTGTTGTTGTTTTTTCTCCATAATATTCCCACGAGTAAATACGAATAATACGACAAATAAACGGTCCACCCCCCCAGAGGTCCTGTAGAAGGGTAAGGCACTTATACAACAGGGTGTGCCTGGTGCCCTGAGGTTGACGCTAGCGACATGACATTTTTTAACACCCTCTGCCATTCATCCATCGGCACGTTTCTCACCTTATGTTGGATTGGGTGTCTCATGTAAATAGGAGCAACGCCCGAATGTAGATGCTTCGAGATAATAGAATACAATAGCATGTGTGAGGGGGCGGATTTTTCGCTGTCGTAGAGAATTCAAGTTGCATCCATGGGCTTGAAAGAGCTGCACGCTACTACTCACACTTGTATACGGATCGTTCCCCAAGATGTAATGCTGCGCGCGCATGACATGGAGTAACCGTTGACAGTCCGTGCTGTCACTTGCGAGTAGTCCTATGCATGTCTCAATGAATAGATCATGTATGTCACCAGTAGCTCAGTTTTTTTATCATTACATCAATTTACTACTAAAGTGAGACTAAGTAAATGTTGGCTGCTTTTAGATTATATATTCAATAAAGCGTGTTGAAGAACTATAGTTCCCCACAATTTCAGTATCGTGTCATAAAAATCAATGATTTTCAAAAAAATCAGAAAATCACTGATGTTAATTCTAAGACAGTGACTAATCAGATAAATGAGGAAATTGGGTGCCTGCTGCCTTCCTTGCATGCGGTAGTCGTTTCTCAGGTTCCCTCTCCGAAAATGTCATCTTCTTAACGGTTGGTGACCTTATCTACTGCAGACCCAAGGTCATGCTGGTAACTAAATTATATGCCGCAAAATAAATAGATATTTCTGTCCTGAATATTTTGTTTTGTTGTGAATACGAAGTTTTTTATGTAAATCACAGTTACCGGTATATTATGGATATTATAAAATGATAATAGTATGCGTATTAGATTTGTCGGTACATTTATGTTTGTATGCGGAACAAGACGCAATAACTAATCAGACAAATGAGGAAATTGGGGGCCTGCTGCCTTTCTTGGATGCGGTAGTCGTGTCTCAGGTTCTCTTTCCGAAAATTTCATCTTCTTAACAGTTGGTGACCTTATCGGCTGCAGACCCAAGGTCATGCTGGTAACTAAATTATATGCCGCAAAATAAATAGATATTTCTATCCTAAATATTTTATTTTGTTGTGAATACGAAGTGTTTTATGGTAAATCACGGTTATAAATATATTATGGATATTATAAAATGATAATAGAATGCGTATTAGATTTGTCGGGACATATATGTAAGTACTAGCTGACCCGCGCAACTTCGTCTGCGTCTCTCAATAGTAATAAATTTTCTCCGTTTTTGAAACATTCTTCATTGGTGCTCCGCTCCTATTGGTCTTAGCGTGATGATATATAGCCTATAGCCTTCCTCGATAAATGGGCTATCTAACACTGAAAGAATTTTTCAAATCGGACCAGTAGTTCCTGAGATTAGCGCGTTCAAACAAACAAACAAACAAACAAACAAACAAACTCTTCAGCTTTATAATATTAGTATAGATAAGGAACAAGACGCAATAACTTATCAGACAAATGGGGAGCCTGCTGCCTTTCTTGGATGCGGTAGTCGTTTCTCAGGTTCCCTCTCCGAAAATTTGATCTTCTTAACAGTTGGTGACCTTATCGACTGCAGATCCAAGCTCATGCTGGTAACTGAATTATATGCCGCAAAATAAATAGATATTTCTGTCCTTAATATTTTGTTTTGTTGTGAATACGAAGTTTTTTCTGTAAATCACGGTTATAAATATATTATGGATATTATAAAATGATAATAGAATGCGTATTAGATTTGTCGGGACATATATGTAAGTATAAGGAACAAGACGCAACTACCATATTAGTTTTTATAAGGTTGTGTTGAACTGAGTGCCCGAAAGAGCAAGTCTGGAACTGCACGCATGCGTAGTTTGCGCACTAGCTCTGTCTCTCTTACTCGCATGCAAAGGATGCGGAAAGAAATTAATTAATCCTGGCGAATCTAATTAGGATAATCGGATATTTTGATCGGATTATTGCATTGTCATCGACCTTTGACAGGTGTGCAAAGTTTGAATCAAATCTGATCGTTCAAAGTAGGGCAAAATCGAGCTCAAAGGAGTCGGTTACATACAAACAAACAAACAAACATACAGGTGAAGCTAATAAAAGCGTGTTAAAAAAGCACCCCACGCTTTTTCTTCAATTTTTTTTTTTTTTTTTTTTTTTAATTAGTGTATTGTCATCGGTCCTCGATATATCTACAAAGTTTGAACGAATTCTGTACGCTTAAAGTCAGTCAAAATCACGCCCAAAGGAGTCAGTTACAAACATACAAACAAACATACAAGTGAAGCTAATATAAAGCGTGTAATAAAAGAACTTTTTTTTTGTAAATGACGTACCAGGACTAGGTCAGTCAGTCAGTTATACATTTTATTTTCTGTGATGTGTATATTAAATTCACCTCCAATTCCTATTGATATTTATCTTGAAGGCCGTTCGGCCACTGCTGTTACTTAAACACAGTGATTACATTGTTCTTATCATTTCATCATCATCATCATCAACAGCCTTTACTAGTCCCCTGCTGGACATAGGCTTCTCCTTAGGAAGGAGGTTTGCGCTTATGAGCCATAATATAATAGACAACTTTAAGAAATAATGTTAAAGAAGAGTGTCCTTTGAGTCTCGAGTCTATATTTCTCCATAGGATCTACGTATGTGGTTCCCTACCACATACGTAGATCCTATCCTAGCTTTACGACTGACTTTAGACTCTCCTACTGACAATTCAAAAATACCTGAAAATTGTTAAATTCAAATAAAGGATTTTGATTTGATATTTTGCATACTATCGATTCAATCGAAAACTGCTTCTCTCCTATAAAAGTTCAACAGTAAACGTAGGTATATAAATAAAGCTAAAAACGTTATAAAAAAATCCAGTAGCTCTTACCAAAAGGTCAAATAACTTGAATTTGAACACGTGTGAATGCTTCCATCCCAATGTGTGCTGATAATATGGAAGGTCACTGACCGATGGGTTTACATTGGCTTTATTTTACTTAAAACATATTTTTAGGTCATACTGGCATACTCAATGACCTAAAAACATGTTACATACATTTAATTTCCATACCTGTAATAAATAATTATTTCAAAGCCAATGTTTTTTTTTAAGTAGGTTATCTGTGTGATACTAGATCAAGAAACAAATACAAAACTTGTAAAATAAATGGGAAACATTACATACATTTTTGCCTATTCTATTTGTGTAGTAGGAAACATACTAGAATTTAAAATTCGAAGTGTTAATGGTTGGATATAAAATTGTATGCATTTGCGCAAGAGCTTTCAATGGCGATGGGTTGTAACTGTAAATCAATCAAGCATCACCGCATGTTGACTTGAACTATTTTGATGCTAAGACTTGTTTCACACGTACCACAACCACACTACACAGTCGCGAGAAAATGTGGTCAAGCTGTGAATACGTGTGATTAGTATCGCTGCGGCTTCTTGCGGTTGTTTTGTCACACCTAAAAATGGTTGTAGTTGCCTTATCGCCTTGTCGCGTGTCGTTGCTGGTCGCGTGTGGTTGCAACGTGGCTTCAATGTGGTCGGTTACACATGCGGTCGATAATAACGCCAAAATGTGTCCCGTCTGAATTTAACTATTAATTTTCTTACAAATTAGTGCCCGCCCACGATTTGGGTTCGGTTGTGGTACGTGTGAAACAAGACTAACAGTCCGCCGCTATTTTTCATTAGGTACTTGAGTATGTGTCTATTATTGGCATTATGCAACATACCACCTACAAGAATATTTCCTGTTCGAAATGGTATTGCAAATGGACTTGTGATGATTGGATAGCTATCAATATAAAGACAGATATCTCAAAGTCGAACACTAAAGTAGACAGATTGGGCTTAAAGTTTGAGTGATTTAGATGTGTTTCTTTATTATTTAGAGTCTGTCTAGTTGCCTGAAGCAAAAGCAGATTTAAAAAGAAATGCTGATACAGTAGTTCTAGGTGAAGTAGTTATTTATTTTATAACTTTTTGCACAAGTACATGCATCGGCGGACTTAATGCCTAAGGCATTCTCTGCCAGTCGACCGATTGGGAGATGCTGAGAAAGAGCACTATTACCCTAATAAATGATAGAGGTTTTCTTAAATTCTAACTATCTTACTGGTGTATTTGGAGTTCAAATTTCCTAAAAATAATTACGGTTTCAAATAAGGACAACAGATTTTTTCAGTTATTTTACAAATATTACATATTATTTTATTATTGCATTGCTTGGTAAAGTTGAAATTTTCAAATATTAGTTTACGATACTTTATAAGGGCAAGTATCATACTAGATACAAAATCGCTCCTAGAAGCTTGTAAACGCGCCAGGAGGCTTCTGCGCTCCTGGAAGGAGCTTGGTTGGTTTTTTTTTTCTGTGCGGAAATATACATCACCTATTATATTTATGTCGAACCGACTAAAAACCGCACGCTGTCTCGGGTGAACCAGGTGTATCCTAGAAAGGAAATCCCTGGTACCCAACTAGTCAACCTTAACTCGACCCATAAAGGACCATTATTGAGTCTAAATGCGGAAACCGAAGCCCACAACCAATACCAAAATCTATAAGTTAGGAATTGTGCTAATGATGACGTTAATTTTCAGTTATATAAGCGGCAGTATGGGATACATGGGTGGAACATGCGAGACTGCGCTTGCGGCGTGGAAACCGCCTACCAACTATCTGCCACGCGGAGAGGCACCGCCGCCCTACGACGAGGTCGTGGCGCAAACGAGACAGGACAACATGAGGTAAAGCTGGTTTTGCCTATTTAATAAAAATTATTAAAAACGTCAATAGTTAAAAAGTAATTATATTATTATTAATTATTATATTTTAATTACATTTTCATTAAATTGATTAGATCAAGCGCTTTATTGATTGCAGTATACAATAAATTTAATGAATAGAAAAATAATTAAATTCATGACAAGTAACTTTTTAACTCTAACTACAAAACGATTAAAATTAACAATGAATCAATGCTTGTTCCTGTCATATACTTCATTCTGATGAGCTATAGTCACAAGGGTATCGCTTCCATTTAATTCGTAGTGTGGTATTCAATCTTAGTCATCGCCTAGCCATGATGACAAACATGAAGTACAGTAGCCGGGTGTTGCTGGATTCCGAATAGTTGGATAGCCGACCGCCGGACATCTGTTTATACTGTACGGTTCATACATGACTGCAACCATGAAAGCTTAGAAAGTAAAACTCCTTAATTCAATGTCAAGTTTTATCCTACAGTTAAATCTCAACATGTATTTGGCGAAACTTATGACTCGGTCTACGATTGCTTTATATAGCAGTGTTAAGAGCAAACCACTAAAGTAGTTTTTTGTAGGCCATAAAAAACTAGCAAACAAGTTTCAGCAAAAATTGTAATTCATTCACAATTATATGTATAATGGGCGTATTATATAATGCTCACTGCTACAATTACTACGAACATTGTTGCAAATATATATGATCTATAGTTATTTTGCGGCTGTATTTAAAATTATATACGAATTGTGACCGAATACTAGCTTCCTATCCGATAGCCGGCTAAATAACAAATTTAGCCTGAATAGGGCTTACACCGAATATTTGCCGAACATCTATTTTAGATCTAGCTTATGTCGTCGTTTCTTATCCTTTTTCAGTTATTTTTAAGTCTTTCGTAAGCTATAGTTGTCACTACATCCAAAAGCCTGTCAAGTATCCAGTATATGTATGGGTCGATTTCTGCAATATTTATTTTGCCACTCACAATTATCTATTCAGTCTGTCAATTTTTGTACTCACTTTATTTTCAATTTTTCAAAAAAGACAACTCAACTCAAATTGGGAATAAATCCTGTGTCGCGCGGGACTTTACAAACATACATGAAACGGACACAATGAACACCCAGACTCAGAACAATAATTTGTGGATCGCACGAAGTGTCGTCCCTTGTGGGGATCGGACCCTCAACACTCAGCGTAGTAGTGAGCGGCGTGGCTTACCGCTAAAACCACTATGCTATCCCTGCAGTCCTGTGGATAGGTATCATGTCCCTCATAGACAAAGGGAGGATTTTCCGCTCAGGCGAGGTGATCGTGCCTGGCGGGCCGCTAATTGTAATATGCCTGTAAAATTGTCATGACCCGAACCTCGGTAAACCAAAATTGACTGTGATTACAAAATCAAGTTTATGCAGCCAATCATAAAGAGTCTTCAAAGATTGTGTACCTATCTTAACAAAACTTTACTTTTCATTTTTTTGTAGTTAGTATATTAAGGGTTATAAGTTATCAAATTAGTTCTGTCTTTAGTTCTACCAGCCGTTGAATTCATTTTTTCAGGCTTGCGAATGAGATGTCTTATCACCGCACATACCCCGCTACAGTTGAAACGCTGGCGAGGCCCGACGACTCTGTGCAGTGTGTAGGACACGGCTATGTCAATATACAGCGCCCCGTTACACAAGTAAGAGTTTTGTTAAACAATTCTTTCGTTGCCCTCCTCCCCCTCTTCCGTAATTCGGGGGGAAAAAACTACTTATTCGCCTTGCTTACTTTAATAATACCCGGTAGCCGGGTGAAAAAGGTATAGTTCAATGTCGTAAGTCGTTTAAACAAGAAACTATGTTTGCATGATAGCAAATTGGAAAAATGTAGTAGAAGTGGTTTACTCTACTACTCTAAAACTGTTTTATTCAACGGTTAGTATTGGTTTTCCATAATGTTTAAACCAATTAAATTCAAATTGTGTCTAAGGCTGTATTCCATATCTAAGTTCTGTCTCTAGATTGCGAACACACAAAATTCTTACAATGCTCCACTGCTGCAGCCAGTTCATCAGGTTGAGAACAGAGAGCCCGCGTCAATGCCCCACCATCCAATTGCACCTAACGGTAAGTTTGTTACCTACTTGACTTTTTTGATTTTTTAATATCGATTATGGATCGATATCCAATATCGATTGTCACTATCATGAAATGATTTAAACAGCATAGTACTGATAGATTGTAAAAATACTATGATAAAGCTTATCAAAAATCTTTACATATTATCATTATTGAGGTATTGAGGTCAAGATTTTATTTGAAATCACAAGCAAAGTATGTTGGAATGTAGGGTATTTTTTTAAATGCCCGATAAAACATTACAACCTAATATTAATTTTATTAGATTCTTTATTATTGAAAGCAATAAGTTTTTTAATGGATATTGTTAGAGCTCGCTGTAGGCTCGACTGGACCGATAGCAGTCGGTACGACCTCACAGAAAACCGGTGTTAAGCAGTTCTGTCATTGCTTTTAACCAAGTGATTCTGATCCCCCCTAATTCTGGAGGGACGGACTGAAGTTAGGTCCCCCAGAATCACGCACAGAAATTAACGCTCAAACGCACAGAATCAGGAAGTTGTGTTGCAAGTGTCTATGGTTGGCGGTAGTAACTTACCATGAGGTGATCCGTCTGCTCGTTTGTCCCCCTCTCCCCCCATACCATGAAAAATCGATTAGTTTTCATTAGTTCGATCCATCAGTTTTTAATGTGCAGTAGAACTAGTAAGATATTTTTTATTCTGACCAGTTCGACCGTCGAACTAATAAAAAAAAAAAGCTCACTAGTTCGACGATCGTACTAATGAGAACAAATCGAAAAATCTGCTTGATACCAAACTAAAAAAAAAAACAGAAGAGACATAGGAACTGAGCTGTTTTCTTTTTATATTATATAGATAGACTAATATAGACTTTGAATATTGTTTTTATTTCCAGTGGTTAGTTTTCCAAGTGCGATTCGTCTGACAGGTTCGTTAGGCGCGATCAGCAATCGAGGACTGTTGTCGGTTTTACAACGCGAGCCGGACCACGAGCGGCCACACAACGTACCCGGCTTCTATACCAACAATCACAACGTTCACACTTCACTGTAAGTGCTGATAATATCATCAAATAATTCATATTATTTGTTGAGTGAACTATGAAGGAAACCCCATCTTACTGGTCTGCTACTTATGACGGATAGATTATGTACATAAAGTGCATATTATGGGGTAAATGACTGTGAATTCAAAACAGTATCTTTATTAAACGTCAAAACGATAGACGCGTTACATTTTTGTTAGCAATACTATGGCGTGACGTCTTGTCAAATCATTTATGAAGATATCAAATCAATAAAAACATTAAATGGATAATGGAAGACAATTCAGGCTGTCGTTAAAGATGGTAAACTGTCTTTTTACTCTGTACGCAATCCTCTTAAAAGGCTTAATTTTCCAGCCACCGCACCATCCCACGCATCTCTACAGCTGTAGACACCACGCTCCTGGACACACCCATCTCGGGGTTTAACCGTGCGGACCGGTCCCTACACAACGAGATCAGACGGTCGTTCCACAAGCCGAGCGACAACAACAGACACAATATGGCCGACACTGGTCGCAGCATGCCCAGAAATTTGAATCTCGCCTCCGCCAATGATATTACTAGAAACATTGAAACTACGCTGGACGATCCGTGAGTATAATTATTTTTTGTTACAAATCAATTTCCATGTGTGTGTGTGTTTTTTTTTGTTGTTTGTAATTGTCTGACCAAGTTTGTAAAATCGACGGCAAATTTGAGAATGCCAATGTTATTTTTGTCAGTTTTTTTTTAAATATTACAAACTGACATTTTAATATTAAATTTCATTATGTTAAATGTAAAATATTGGGGAGGTCAGCTGTCACATATTTTTATTCCAAAAACAAATATTTGGTTTAAAAATCTTACAATCAATCTATTATTATCTATAAAAACTAGCTAACCCGGCAAACGTTGTTCTGCCAAATAAATCATATCAAAGAAATGGAACGTAAGTGAAACAAAAACGTGATTAAAAATGTGGTTTGGGGTTAGGAGGGCGAAAAATACTTTACGACCTATTCTCATACCTACCTAGTAGTAACATACAAAAAAACATTAAAATCAGTCGAGCCGTTTCGGAAAAATGCGACCACAAACAAAGTGCGACCAAAATAAATGCCTTCTGACGACTAGTTTCTATTAGACTTAAATAAATTCAATCGAGACTTAATACTCGTAACAGTCCGGAACGATCGCCGAGGTCGCTGGTTTACCCTTTTGTTTAGATCGCGTCGATATTTATTGCACTATTAGCTCAAACTGAACTGTCCCGGCAAAGACGTGTTTATATTCATACAAAGACTCCGCTAGTAGCTTCATTAATCCATTTAGTAATTTCTCATAAGGACAAGGTGTTCTGTTTCTAAGAAATGTGAGTACGTTTTAAATGTAAACAAGATCGATCGATTTTCGATCTTACGCATACGGTGATAAAGCTCGTTGTCTCAGGCATCATTGCGCGGCCAATGAATTCATGACGATTCGCGACTCCTCTCGAAACTACGTTATATATCGTGAAAGTATTATAGTACATCGTGACTGAAAGAAAAGGTGTATTTCTTCTTCGTTCGCATTGATGTCATTTATAATGTAATATGACATTACAAATAGTTCCAGATATTAGTTCGTTAAAACCAACAAAAAAACTCTTAAGCTTTATTAGTATCTATTTCATAATTACAATTTTCTACCACAGTTTAGCAATTTCCCTAGGAAAGTCGATTTTTTTTATACTAACGTACTTTAAGTAGAAATGAAGAAGTGGAAAGAAAAGAAAAGTATAATATTGAGTGGCCCCTACTTGTATATAGTAAGAGGTCCGTATGTTCCAGCAGCGGCGCTCGCCTGAGCGGCGGCTGGCGCGCGCGCACGCACAGCGACGAGCACGTGCGCGCCGAGCCGCCCGCGCCCCCCCCGCCCGCCGCGCCTGTCGCGCCCCCCGCGCCCGCCGCGCCCGCCCCGCCCACGCTGCCCCTCACCGTCGACAAGGTAGCTCACGTAGTACGATGCCGACCCGACCGTGTTGAAACATAAATCGTCATGTCATTTTACTTTTTTCACACGAAGTCGTTCATTCTCACTTCACACGTGCTTTCGATAACTATAAAACCAATATTTGTCATCAAAAATTGCCGACAAATACACGCCTTAAATATGAATTTATTCCCGGTAAACAGCCTTCTTACTTTTGTGTTAATTACTTACGCATTTTTTAATTAAGTTATTATTGATTTGCAGCCATCATGCGTTTGCAGTTACGAACAAACGAACGCACCCGGCACAGAGGAGACCGATGATTACCGCAGCGAGTGTGAAAACTGCAAGTCGGCCAGCAGCTCAAGGTACTTTTTGTATAGTGTGACTGTGTTAAGGGGTATAATACACCTTTGGTTTTTAAAGCAGCTTTTCTTGTTGAATGATTTTAGTATTGCATTTCCACACAAAAAGAAATGATCCGATCCTATATTTATTATTAAATGAAATAGAATCTTAAAGCTATATATTTTCTTTATTGTAAAACCTTTGCTTTTTTTTGGATCTGGCAAAAGCATTTGACACAGACTGTACTCATTCAAATTGAAAAGCACAAAAAAGTATAGGCAAATGTGTAGTATAAAAAATTGATGTGTTATGCACATGTTTCTTTAATATTTATTAGAAAACAGCTAGTCAAATTAATAAGACACATTAATGATGAAGAGACGAGAAGAGAGAATGCTTAGGCGTGCCACAAGGCAGCGTATTAGGACTTTTTTTTAAACTTGATATTTATGAAATTTGTACGACCTAATGCTAAATGTCCACATATTTACATACATTGATAATCTCTTCATTTTGGCCGAGGATCGAATCGGCAACCTGTTAACACACCGTACACACACGTACTTTACGTAATACTAATTTCATAGCCTTTTAACGAATGTTCCGTTAAGGGCATTTCTTCCTTAAGTTTCATGATGCTGCACGGATGGCGTAGTGGTTTAAGCGTTCGCCACGCCTTTCCTACTACGTCGAGTGTTGTGGGTTCAAACCCCATATGGGACGACACTCTGTGTGATCCACAAATTGTTGTTCTGAGTCTGGGTGTTCTTTGTGTCCGTTTCATGTATGTTCGTAAAGTCCCCCGCGACACAGGATATTTTCCTAATGCGGGAGTCGTCTTTTTTAAAAATAAAAATAAAATAAATAAATAACTGAACCGACTCATAAGAATAAATGTGGCTAATTTTTCTGAAATCAATTATGTTCAATACGTCAATATCGAACATAATCCGTTTCAGAAAAATCGATCGATCGATTAAATCGATTTAGATGAACGGTCGACCGAGATGAGACAGTCGGCAAGGTTCCGGTCGGTTCGGTCGATCTTCAGCGAACAGTGAAAACGTCGCGAACGAAAGTGTCGCCTAGTGTAATCCATGTGTGTACCGTCGCGTGCAGGTGGGTGCTGGAGGAGGGGTGGGAGGGCGCGGCGGGCGCCGGCACGCAGACGCTGCAGCGCCGCGCCCCGCCCCCCGCGCAGGCGCCGCCCGCCACCGCCACGCTGCCGCAGCCCGTCACCAAGCAGGGGTACCCTTCCCACTTGTAGCCTACGTAGATAGACTCGACCCGCACGCCGCGTCGCCTGAGCGGTGTGTGTGTGTGTATACCGCAGACGTTGTGAAGTGTAGATGCTCGCTCGCATCGTGAATTTTTTCGCGTAATTTTATATCGATCGTAAGTTCTAAAATGAGTACGATAATTGTAGATACGGACTATCGCATATCTCTACACTGCGGTGCCGCACCGCTCCGTCGACGCATCGTGTGGCTTCGCTCTTAATCTATAAATCTTGAGGCCGATACTAGACTTTTTATTATTGACCGTTTGGTAAATCGACTCTTTAATGTTCGATACGATCGAGTATTAGCCGTTCCGAAAAGTAAATATTGGTAAAAAGGTCTAAAAACTTATAACTTTGCACTCGAAAGTCGTTTAATTTAAATGAACATTATACGAAATGATCAGTCTAGATCAGATCTCTTAAATTTAAATAAAAAAGACGTACAAGACGATATAACACTCATTCTTATGTATTTTATTCTCCACTTAAAACAAATAAAAGTCAATGATAAATAATAATAATAACCTCACACCTCACACACACAGCCGTCTGATCCCACACTAGGCAGAACCTGTGCTATGGTAACCAGACTACTGATAAACATACTTATATATTTTTAAATACATATATATTATAGATATAAGAGATTTCCACGTATGTGGTCACTCATCACGATATCTCTGGAACCATTAGAGCTAAAGACTTGAAATTTGGTAGAAATATTCTTTTCACCGTGTAGAGGTCAGCTAAGAATGGATTTTAAGAAATAGGGAATATGCACGTGACACCAAAATGGACAAAATATTTTTATTTGTAATTTTTATTGCTAAAAAAAGATACCCATACAATTATTTTTCAAATTTATTATAATTTAATAGTGAAATTTAATCATCAAAAATTGGCTTTTTTAAGATTCACTCGCAAATTTCTAAAACGCAACGCTATTGGTTGAATAAAACGTGACGTCAACCTACACTGTCAAGAGTGTCAACAAGTTGTGTGTATTTGTAATATTTGGTTTCTGGTGATTATTTGTTTCATTTTAAGTTAATAACTAATACGTTTACAGTGTTAAATTATTAAATTCCCGTGTAGAAAGACTCAACACAATGACTGAATTGCAATTTTGATATTATTTGGGCACAAAGGAACGGCACAATATTTATAATAAGTTTTCATTGGCTTTTCCATGGTAATAAGTTAATTTTTATCACTGACTTTTTTAACTTTCACAAACTTTGTGAACTTCACTCCGTTGTTGACATCGAATTCGTCTGAAAGTGTAATCTGACGTCACAAAAAAAAGCACGCTAAAATGGAAGTGTTTAAATTGCCCCAAAATGATAGTGATTTTAATAAAAGTTTTTTTGCTTAACGGTTTATATTTCGGATGTGTTATATTTATTTTTGGTAATGTAATAACCAGTAGAATTTAAAAAAATAAAAATAATACAATGCATATTCCCAATTAAAAAAATTTTTTTTTTAATAATGTAAATAGCAAAACAACGTTTGAAGGGTCAGGTAGTATATATTATAGATAAATAACACCCAGACACAAAACAAATGCCCGTGCTCATCACACAATATTTGTACTGGGTAGGTATCGAACCCACGCTTTCCGGCTTAGCAGTCAGGGCCACTAACCACTAGACCAACAGACCACCCGTCATTCAATGAATTATAATTTGCCAAATTTTGTCTAACATATCGATTTCATTGTTTTCCAGTCGAACCGTGATGGGTCCGCCATCCAACTGGGAGAACTGGTTCAAAACGATCCCTGACTCCGACTCTGAGTCCGAAGAAGAATAAAGAATCGATACTATTGATGTTTAGGCGATCGAATGATTCACGATACACGTACGTTTATTAGTAAGTTCTCGTTTTAAGCTGTTAGGTATTAATGTCATTCCTTTATTTTGACCAGGTAAAATAAATTCAGCCAATATTTTTTGCAAATGGCTATTAGTTCTGTAAGTAGACTAACATTATTAACATTTTTTTTTATTTTGCTTTAAAAGCGACGTATTAGTTTATGTTACCAGTACCTACCTAAAGTTATAATAATTAACATTCCTGAAAGTTATATATTTTTAGTATAACTTCATCACAAATCGGTGAAACACGGATGTATTTTTTTTCCACATTTAATGTGATTTTATATTTTAATAATTTATTTATTTATTTGCTGCACAATGCACTCTGCCTATTTGTTTAATACCAAAGAATTGTTGTTGTTTTTTTGTATAGGGTTTTTTTATTATATCTTTCAGAATTTATGTCATAAATAAACTTCAGAAATTTGTTGTTCGTTTATCGTACGTATTGAAAGTATTTTGTTGAGATACATAAATTATTGTATAATAGTAATAAGTATGTAATATATAATAATAACAGAATTTTATTAATAACATTGTCTCAAATTATAGTCACAATCATCTTTTTAGATTTGAATCAAAGCTCTCTAGTTTGAAAAAATAACTACGCGATTTATCTTTAAATCATAATACAATATAGACAAAATGAGTTTTTTTGGACCATATCCTAAGGTCCATAGTGTTGATTTTGACAATTTATTTAATATAATATTTAAGATAAATATCTAATAGTTTCTTTTAGATAAAAAAAAGTATTATTAAAGAAAACTTTGCGATGAAAACTGCCTGCAATATTTGCATCCCTATAATTTATTTATTAATTTATATTACTTTATATAAATAATGATTTGTTTAAAAAGCAATTAGTTCTGACAAATGTTATGACAATAGAGTGACAACTTATTATGATTGACTATTTATCATCAAATTTTTAGTATCAAAATTATTATCAGCTGTTATCTATTGGTAAATTTAGGAACCTTGTTCCATGAATTTAAAAAAAAAATTACATAGTATTTAATTCTCTCTTAAACCTTGCAAATATTACTTGTAATTTGATCGGATCGTCTTGAAAATAAAAGTATTGTACCATTATTTAAGTTATTTTTGGAACTAAGCTCATATTATTATAAATATATTATAAATATTTATTTAAGACATTGATTGTCAGGTATTTCTCGTCAAGGTAAAATAGACACACGGCACATACTTGATGTGCGTTTTGTTTACAGTTAAAAGTATCCAAACATTTTGAATAACATTAGTGCAGCTTATGTTGTCTTGTTTTGAAATCATATTTAAATTAAGGAAAGTGTATAAATATTTGAAATAAGGACATTCTTTCAAAAGGTATTATTTTGCAGTTAATTATTACACCAAAGATTATAATCTGTAGTTTAATTGTGATGCTATATCGTTTAAATCGGTGAGTACATTGATGTATAGTAAAATCAATAATGACATGCGCCGTTAACGCTACTAATAAAACTAGTATTTATAAAGAAAAAGCGTAAAGTAAGTAAAATCAGTCTTAAAATATTTAAACTTAGTAGGTTTAGGTAATGTGCCAACCGAATCTCTTTGTTTTTAGATTATATGCGACTCAAATCGCTGGAATATAATATCAAATTTAGTATTGTATTTTCAATACACAACATTTGCTTTATTAATTTTAACTGATGTCTTGCATTCTCCAAGCGAAAGTGTTATTTCATCTATAGAATGCGTCTGAAGTGGAAGACAGTTGGTATGTCGAAATTTTATTATACATCAATGATTTAGTATTTAAAATGTACGCTCAAAGATATTATAGTATTAAAAGAAACAGTGAGCTGTAATTGGAGATAAAGATTTATCCAAACTCATGAATACCTAGTTATATATTTTTGTTGATATAAAATTGTAAGGAGGTATGATTATTTATAATATATAGTTACGTAAGTAATTCTTAGAGTAATATTTTAAGGACAAATTCACTAACTTGCTGATTTGACAAAAGTATATAAAATAATTGGTTTTGTTGTAATAAGATCGTATTTTTTTTTTTAGTACCAATATACATTATGGCTTGGTATATATGCTGACAACAATTATATTTAATTGAGTTGCAAAGTACGTGTTCTAATGTAACGTTCGAAACATAATGATATTCGTTCAAAAAACTAGAGACATGAAAAGAACTAAAGATTTTTTTAAACAATATAATTTATTGAGGTCTTACTACAATAAAATCCTGTGGAGTCGAATTAGCAACTTGACTGAATGCACTTTTATGTAAATTTAATTTATTTCCATGTCTCTAACATCGCCTTATAATATTGTGTGACGTGACATAAAATTCCGTAGACAGTTGAGAAAGCATAGAACGTTTTCATAGTCTGACTTTCCAGGGTTGTAAGTATTAAATAGCATGAATGTATTAGTGTTAAATTGTGGGAAACATCACTGTGTCTGGTTGTCCATCGTGGCAAGTGGTTTTATTCGAGTGATTACATGCCAAAGTAACTCTGTGTTGTGTTTTAGGTCTCTTTTTTCTTCTCTGTATATTCTTATTGCGCATCAGGTAACTAATAATGTGATAGTAAATGTACCTGCCTGCATTTTTTTTAAATAATTGGATATTAAGTTGAGTTCTAGAATTTGACGGATTTTAAATGTAGGACGATTGTAATAAAAACTACACCTTTGTGGATATGGATGGATCACAGGTCGGTCGACCAATCCAAATTTAAAAAAAGAGAAAAAATATTCGATTTGTATCGATTTCGCCCCGACCCACAGTTCGATCTTACCTTACTTCAACATGTTATAATTACATGAATATGTCCAGTAGTACGATTTTATTTTTGAAATAGATTTTATTCATATATCCATCCAGCGCGTAAGTACTGTAATTCTGTCTATACCTTTCAGAGTACTTCGTTATAAGAAACACCTTGTATATATAAGTACATGCCATTTCACACGAATGGGTACACAAAAGCATAATATAATATCTTCACTCAATGAATTCTATATTTTATGGTTTCTTATTTTACGATTGTATTATTTATTAACGAATATGTTAATTTTATCTATGTTAACTGCCAATAATGATACAGTGAATTTGAATATATAGTTCATTTGCGTTAAGAAAATAGCTTTCGGACGAAACGATAATTTCTTGGAACCTGATTGGCCAGGGGGCGGGGCTTGGTCGATGCGTCACTATTTTCTTAACGCGATTGGACTATAGTTTGTAGTAGTTAAAGATTACGTTTTACTTGTGTTACAATATTGTCTAGGCATATTTATTTATTTATTTGTTTTATTTGTGTCACAATATCGTCTTGGCATATGTTTTAATAAAATGAAATGGACTTTTGTAACATAGAAGCTTGTATTTTATGTATTAAAAGCCAAAAATTTGTTAGCGAATGTCAAATTGGGTATAAACGACTACCTTCAAAAATGAACGGCTCTTATAAAGGTTTGATACAATTGGTCATCTTTATTGACCTCGACCTTGTACAGAAGCGAAAGCTCACTTTCGCGCTTAGCGAAAGCTAACGCTCCCTTGTCCTTGACCGCATCACTGCTATGTAAGCAGTGATGCGGTCAAGGACAAGAGAAATCCAGGTCTTTTTTTATTTGGTGACTGACTTTGTTTTAATTAACCATTGAGCAGTTTTAGTATTTGAGACCTTCATTTGGAGCGACAATCATTCAAATGGGTATCCGATATAACATCCTAACGAGAATTAAATAACAGAAAAAGGTGGTAGTACCAACACAAATATTGTCCATTTAATTGTATACCTTATTATCTCAAATGATTTGCCCTAGTTTTCATCGACTGGGTAATTAATTCTGATTGGACATTTCTATCACATGAATTCAGAACCGAACAAATACAATTGAATTAACGTTCGAAATTAACTCATTTTGGTCGTTTCTTATTGGTCTACGGCCACGTGGTAACTCACACATGGAGCTTAACCTTGTAGCACGTACCGTATGTACCGTAGATCAGTTGTATAAAGCTTTATCCGTGTTCAGTTTCTTTTTACTCATGTATATCAGTGATTATTTTTTTACACAGAAATTTCTGTTATATCTATTAATTTAGAAACTGATTTTTCGTTCTGTTGTCGATTATTTATGGTTGTATTTGCGTTGCCTTCAAGTCAATTTTGTCTCTTACTTGCCAATGAATAATAACCAACGATAATATTGCAGATGGCTGCGAGATCCAACCCTAAATATGATTTAGTAACAAATGTCAATACCATGCTGTCATATAAAAACTAAATTTGTATTCTTGGTTACGCATTTATTTTTTAGAACATTTACTAAAGAGTGTTTAAAAACAAACAGATATAAGCTTTCAAATATCACCAGTTATGTTTGTGAATTGTTTAATATGACCATATTGTTTGTGGTAAAGTTTCAACGATAATCAACAACGAGGTTGTGTTTCTCCTCATATTCCTCTTCCTACCAAAGAATATGCCAATTATTTATTAAATGAAAGTATTGTCTTAAATATAATCAAGTCGCATGTTAGTAAATGTTATCTTTCTATAACAGTGATCGGTATTAATATTTCCAAACCAAATATCTATGTTCAGATGATTGAAATAAACAAGTTAATGGGAATATGATGTTTTATTTTTTCATACCTTATATTTTATACTATCTTTAGTATGACAAAATAAAGATTTTAGATCGTCCATCTTCAAACATTTTTAAGACTATTTACTTTGGTTATTATTTTATTTAGTGTCCAAAAGAATAGGGAAACCGTAATAACTGTCCATGAATGTCAAAAACCATAAATAAGGCGGACTGTTTAAAATTTGTATAATTTATGAAGTCTTTTTGAAAGAATGCGAATGAATGATATAAGTAAATAGTTAAAAATAAATAACAAAAATAATAATTGATTTATTCACCATAAAACCTTTCCTCAGCTGTGTGATATGACAATAACGTTATTGAAAGTGGATGAACTTTCTGGATTATGGGCTGCCAAAACAGAAATAAACTTGTATAATGTCCTGGTACGCAGTAAACTCAGAGATGGGAGTGTTGTCTGGATATCATCATTATCAACAGCCTTCAATAGTCCACTGCAGGACGTGGGCATCTCCTTAGAAAGGAAAATCAATAGGGATTGTGACACTCCGTATTCTTAATCCGTCACCATACGGACAACATTTAATCCGTTAAAACATAACAGCAAACAATTTTTTTTTCTATGTATGTAATGCATTCAGCGTATGCTGTTGATATCTCAAAATAAATAAGTACTTGTTTTTCTATTCTAATTTTATTTTATTAACATCGCACGAAAAACATGCTTTCCGCACATTAAATTGTTGAACAATATTAAAACAATAAGAAAGCTTTAATTAAGCATATCATAGCTACAATAATTAACAATATATCTGAATTCTTCTTGGACGAAATGTTTGTTTCTACGTCTGGGAGCCAAGGACCGCACTGCCTGTAACCCTTTTCCTGAAAATTGAAAAAAAAAAAAGAATTCTGTAATAAGGTGTTTGTGAGCTTAAATATTAGCTAACCGAAAATCGGTTACGTTAAACTTATTTGTTAGTCCAACTGGAAGCCCATCATTTACCCATAAACAGTTCTGTAGTCCAGTGCGCATGCAAAATCTTACGATAATCGGTTAAGTATTTGCGGTGTAAAAGGGCAACAAAGAAAGAATAAGAAACAAATAATCTTCTATTTATGTTGTGTTTAACTTTTACGTTGAGCTCACAATTTCAGCCATTGCTTAAAGTAAGTTAAGTCCTCAAATATACCTAAACCCTTGAGGTTTCTATTTACGATGAGTTCTATAGACGACATGACCTGTACCACGCATACCTTCCGGTACTCGTGCGGGTAGCAGGGCACGTGCGGGGCGCGCATGGGTAGCTGCTGCCGGTTGCGGAAGCACGCCAACTTGCTCGCCGTGCCCTGCATACTGCCAACAACTAGTTCTTCTTCTTCTACGTACTGGAATTTTACTCATTGTAAATATCAACATTTTTATACTACTACTATATGCAAGTAATTGATGAAGGTTTTAACTTCACACTATTTGATAGCATGGGCGTACCCGCGTATTGGGGCAAGGTGGGGCTTGCCCCTGTACCACCTTGACAGGTGTTACCCTTTTTTTTACGTGATGAAAATACAAAATATTTCACGAAGTACCGGTTCCATTGCAACACCGAAATTTTCTTTATTATGATAAAACAACAGTTTTGGTGTTCTGTATGGAAGAAGATAGAGCTAAAATTTAGCTAACAAAGGAAATATTTCATCAATCATCATCAACAGCCTTTAATAGTCCACTGCTCGACATAGGCCTCCCCTTAGAAAGGAGGTTTTGGCCTACTATACCACGCTAACCAGACGGGTTGGTATAGGGTTTGTTTCAAGTTTTCCTTCTCTCTGCAGTGTTGCTGTCCTGCATAGTTTTCTTCCTTAGTCGCCTCTTACGACACCCACGGGATGAATAGGGCTGGTGACTCTGTTTTCTTAACCCCCTTCATTCGTTCATTTTTTTTATTAAACACCAAACCGAATTGGGCGTCCGATAGATCGGGCCCACGGGATCGGACGATGTGGGCAGAGAGTACCCTCTCCAACAATTTACCCGCCTCGTTCAGCAACACGATCGGCCTGTAGGCCGCGACCGAATCGGGATGTCGTCCCGGCTCGGCCGCTAAGCTAGCGTCAAACAGCTCCCCTGAGGCGGTCTGACATGTGGTCGAGAGCTCGAGCCAGAATACGGGAACAGCCTCCGAATCCGTGACAGACGGATCATCATCCTGTGTCTCCCTGTCGCCACGAGAGGCTGTTACAAGGGGTTGTCCGGTCAATGGCACTGTACGGTGCATCGGTGTCGGCAGCGGCTCTGAGCACCCAGAACAGTCCTCAGAGGGTATTGCTGGTTAGAGCCATAAGCGCTTAGCGCACCGTGTCGACGGAGGTGGCGTGCGCATTGGCCGGAATTCCCCCGTGAGATTTGGAGGCGGAAGTGCTTGCCGAAGTATATCAGCGGAAGACTGAGTTCCGGGCGGTTAGCGGCAGTCGGCCCCCGGCCGAAGAAATATGCGAGTGGCGTGCGATAGTTTCTTGGTCGTCTCGGCTAGAGGCTCCACGTGCTGGAATTGCCGCCGTGGAGGCGCTCAAGACGGCCATCGTCGAGTGGGCAGGTCGGTTGCACGGGATCCTTTCCTTCGGACTTAAGCAGGTCCTTTACTTGCACTCTCGAGAATGCCCACTGACACTCAACACCGCACTGTTACACCCTGTCGATGTAGGCATTAGGGCTGACTAACAGACCCTGGTCTTGCTGAGCCAGCATTGATAAAACCGATATAAACCCTGAGTGCATCGGAGCGTCAGTCTACAATCGAACTCGGTTCGGGTCGGATTCATTATTCTAATTCCTAAATATTTCTATTTCCTTTATTTAATTCAAATAAATAACCTTCAGTGTTTTAAATACTTTTTTTTAAAAAGCTAACTGCAAGGTCCCGCATAACATTTTGGTGGCAGCGGTGGGATTTCGAAAATCCCTCACCCAAATACGTCTCTGAAATCAACTCGTAAATTGTGTTAAAAACCCTAATGAAGTGCTAAACCCAGTTTCCAAAAGTGAGTGCAGATAAATACTATACTAGTCAATCATTTCGTATGACCAACTTGTGCAAGTGCTTTAAGTGAAGTCTGAAGCTGATTCATACACGGAAGTCCGTGTTATCCAGCTGTGTGTAACTACTGGCTGCAGACCAGACGAGCATCTCATCATGATCCTGTTCCTAAGTGCGCTGTTCCAGTGAGTCAAACATCATAAATCGCTATAGAGAATTTCCAACTGAACTCAAAGCCACACTCAACAACGTAACTGCATTTTTTGTACAATCCTAATATTAACTTTAATATAATACAATATCATATTATTAATTCTTTCTATCGCTGTAGAATTGTAGACTAAATACTGCAATAAGATTGTTTATATTAACCATCCGGACACCGTGCAGTGACGCACAGATAAGGTCTCAATTCTTAGTTCTAAGCTAGCTTAGTGTGGATAAGATTTTTTACATACATTATTTTTGTTATTAATCTATATCTTGTGTTGTATTCTACTAAATCGTCATAATGACAACCAGGAGTGATGCCAAACAGGAAAAACCCGAAAAAACTACTAGTGTTCCCAGCGACGGTTCTACGTCACGCGTAGAAACAATAGAAAAAATAGAATTAAATGTTCTACTTAAATTCATAAAACCATTCGACGGGTCCAGAGAAAAGTTAAACCCATTTATTTCCAACTGTCAGAGTGCGTATAATTTAGCTAACAAATTCCAAAAACCAATACTATTCAAGTACATACTAAGCCAACTAACTGATAGGGCCGAAAGTACGTGCAGTATAAAGGAATTTGAATGTTTCGAACAGTTCATAGAATTCTTAAAACAACAATTTGGAGACAGGAAGCATTATACTCACCTACTTTCCGAATTGCAGGAATGTAAACAAGGTTCAACAGAAACGGTGAACCAGTATGCTCTTAAAATTGAGACAATATTGTCTAAATTACTCACTGAAATTAAAATGTCAATTAAAAAGAAAACGGAAATGGCGGGCCGCGTTGCAGCAATGGAGGACCTCGCGTTACACACATTCACCGTAGGTCTCCACCCACGACTCTCCCAGATAGTGCGTTGTCGTGACCCTGATTCATTAAATTCAGCTGTAGGATTTGCAGTAGCCGAAGAAAAAATATTATCAGCCTCTTACAGGAAAGTAGCCTTACCAAATTCCAACTACGCCGAAAGGACCAAATTCACTCCTAAACGTGATTTTCAAACGCAGTTACATCGCCTCCGAAACACACAAAATCCGCGACCCGACTTCACAAGGAAAATAAACACGGGGGATCTAGTCTGCCGTTACTGTAAGAATATAGGACACGCAATTGAAAACTGCCGTAAACGACAGTATAATAATAGCCGATATCAACCTAATACTCCGACGCCAAATAACTTGCCTCAAAATCCACCTCACAGAACCTTTACCGTTGACTGCTCAGATGATACGGGAGTTGATGAAGTCGAACACAAAGAACATTTAAACTATTAAAATTTCCCGTCCGGTATCGCCCGGGAAATTACCCTTACAAAATCAAAGTCGGTACCTCTAACCCCTCTGTATCCACTGTATCTAAAAAGTCAAATAAAAACGACATTTCAACCACACATGCTACAACATACAGTAACTCAAAATCACTGAATCCTCTGAATCCTACTAAATCACTGAATCCTCTGAATCCTACTAAATCACTGAATCCTACTAAATCACTGAATCCTACTAAATCACTGAATCCTACTAAATCACTGAACCCTACTAAATCACTGAATCCTTTGAATCCTACTAAATCACTGAATCCTACTAAATCACTGAATCCTCTGAATCCTACTAAATCCCTGAATCCTCTGAATCCTACTAAATCACTGAATCCTCTGAATCCTACTAAATCACTGAATCCTCTGAATCCTACTAAATCACTGAATCCTACTAAATCACTGAATCCTACTAAATCACTGAACCCTACTAAATCACTGAATCCTCTGAATCCTACTAAATCACTGAATCCTCTGAATCCTACTAAATCACTGAATCCTCCGAATCCTACTAAATCACTGAATCCTCTGAATCCTAACGAATCTTCTTTAGAACCCCCCTCCTCGAATCCAGAAGCAGAATTTCCACACCCACGAATTCTGAAACAAAAGGAACGTAACATTCGAATTTATGAAATTAATAAAAACACAGAGAAAAGATACTTACCACATGTTATCGTCCAAACTCCTGTCTCAGATAAACCCCTTTCTTTTCTAGTTGACACGGGTTCTTGCGTAAGTTTAATTAAATCAAGTTCTATTTCTAAAATGCCAAGGTTAAGTAATGTTATTATTACACTTAAAGGAATCGATCCCGGTGACGAAGTAACACCCACATTGGGGAGCTTTAAAATGCGCATATTTAATAATTCAATGAAACTTCATGAATTTCATGTCGTCGATGATATAAGCCTAAGTCACGATGGTATAATCGGAAACGACCTGCTTAAGAATTTTAGTTGTCAGGTCGACTACAGTAAAAGAATATTACAAATGGAAAATGATTCAATGAACTTAAACTTCTCTGAACCACTCTATACTATACCTCCTCGCACAGAAACTGTAATCGAATGTACTGTTAGTAACCCCGAAATCTTGGAAGGAGTAATTCTAGATCAACACATTTCCAATACCCTATTAATTGCAAACTGCATTGTCAAGGTTAAAGAGAATAATCGCGTTAACATAACAATAGCCAATACTTCGGAGGAACCTGCCGTTCTTCATTCTGACCTCAACCTTACTTTAGAAGAATTACGCGTTCAACCTTACTCACCTCTTTCTAAATCATTACCAAGTCCCAATTCCCTCACCAGAACCAAGGAAGTTATCAAACAACTCAGAACCTCCCATTTGAACCGTGAAGAAACGGAAAGCCTGTTACAAGTCTGCTCTGATTATTCTGATATCTTCCATCTCCCAAACGAACAACTTACCTTCACTACAGCCACTGAGCATCGAATTAGGACAAGCACAGACGTCCCATTCCAAACTAAATCCTATAGGTTTCCAGAATGCCATAAGAAGGAAGTAGAAAACCAAATTAATAAGATGTTGGAACAGAACATAGTAACGCCATCAGATTCACCTTGGTCTTCACCAATCTGGGTAGTTCCCAAGAAATTAGACGCATCAGGCCAACGAAAATGGAGAGTCGTAATCGACTACAGAAAGCTGAATGACGTTACAATAGGCGAAACTTATCCCATTCCACAGATAACCGAAATTTTAGATCAGTTAGGGAAAAGCCAATATTTCACTACATTAGACCTGGCATCTGGATTCCATCAGATACCTATTTCCCCAGAGGATGCA